AGGCATGCGGCATCGATTCCTGGAACAGCCAAAACCTATCAGTTTGACGCTAAGTGATGTTGTTTTCGTTTTTTCTTTTCGTCGCTCCGTCTCTCTCGCTCGCCCCGGAGAAAGGGAGGGGCGGCGGCAAGAGCAGTTATGAGAGGCGTGAACACACTACCTATTTTCACACCACTGGGGGCAGGTGAGTCAGCACGACGGGCCGAACGGGCGGGCCGCCGTGGGGCCGCTGCGGGGCCGGGGCAGCGCGGGAAACTCGAAATTCGCCGGCACAGTGCCACAAGGACGTGAGTACCCAGTGGCGTAGCAAGCACCGGGTCAGAGGGTCAGCTGACCCCCCAGTTTTTGAGCTGCCCCGGGTCAGTCCCCTGCGAGGTAGGCAACATGCAATACACTGACCCCCCCCAACTATATTTTTTGTCATTTTAAATCTTGCATTGGTAAATTTTAGTTTGTTTCTAAGCACCCTTTCAAAACTCAGCTCAGACAAGTTTCTGAAAGCGAGCGCTCGAAAACAGGGGACTTTCGGCTCCGAAACGGCGGATCCGGATTTCGGGCGGCGAGGAGCCCCGCTGATTGGAAAGGGGTGGATGCCCGGATAAATAAATCAAAATCGAGTAGCCCCTCGTTTGGGGCGGCCACGCCGCCACCCCGCCCCCCGGACTCGCCGCTCGGCCTTTAATGATGTAATTTGAGTTGACTGGTGCCCTATGCGCCGCAGTGCGCTGCCGCGAATACCCGACGTCCCAAAAAATGACCGCCTACTTAAAACCCGCACTTAACCCCACGTGCCCTCCGTTTTCAGCGGGAGCACCGAAACGACCCGTGTCCGAAAATCGGTGACCCCCCCCCCCACACACACACACACACGCACACACACACACCGGAGCGAGGAATCTTCGGGGGTCTGCGCGGCGGTGGTGTATCGGGCGTCGCTATCGCTCAGCCAATTAAATCAAGACCGGGCTGTGTGTGTGTGTTCTTGAAACGACCAGGACGGCGTGCCGCTTCTTGGAAGCGGCCATTTCTTTATTACGTAACGCGTTTTGCTGCGCGTCCGCGTGGAAAGGCGAGGTCAGGGGTCGAGCAAGAAACGCGGGCCAGCGCGGCGAATTAAATTTTGTAAAAAAAAAAAATTGGGAGAAAATGAAGACATTGAAAGGGGGTCGATTTTCCGGGACCGAATTAATCATCACTTTGTCACATTAAGTGTAATTACGTGAAGTAGACCACCAGAGTGCCTGCCCTTGCCCTACAGGGACGGACTGCGCTCCACTTAGACGGCTCAATCTTCGCAAATTAAAAAGCAAGGGCGGCGGCACGGGCTGCGCGGCAGTGCACCGGGCAGGTGGAGGCATCGTCAGGCTCTCGTTATCAAACGGCCAGATGCCGTGGCCGGTACACCGCAAAAGACCACCGACCATAAATATGATTTTTTTTGTGTGTGTGTGTGTGGGGGGGGGGGGCAAGTGCGAGCAATGAGTGCTGTGGGTGAACGAATGAATATTGTGTGTGTGTGTGTGTATTGTCGTCACCAACCCCCGAGGTCGCATGACACCAATTAACGCATGGCGACGGCCGATGAGCCCGCGCGGCTTTTTTTATCCCCTTTCCCCCCCGTTTTATTCCTTTTCCTCAAAATAAAATAGTGCGGGGGGGAGGGGGAGGGGGGACGCGGCGGCGAGAGGAATCCGGCAGGCGCTTTAAAAGCCTGATAGTACTGTTCTCACCCCACGGACGGACCCACGGTTGGTTCCAGACCGAGTCCACCGCCATGGAACCCAGGGAGACCGATTCCGAGAGTCGTTTCTCTCTGTCTCCCTCGCACCCCTATGGTGCGCCCCGTGCGCGCGAGAGAGACGGAGCGATCGGAATCGGTGTGCAGCCCGGGCCGCCCCGCTCGCCGATAACATCGGAATCAGATGGACAGACATCTCGGGCTGGTCCCGTCGTCCCGTCCCAGCCCGGCAGTGTAGTGCCCCGGCAGTGCCGGCCGCCGGCCAGCGCCGCGCCCGCCGCCCGGCCGGCCCAGCCAGCCAGCCGCTGCCCTGCCCTGCCGCCTTCGGCTCGACTGCCTTCGACTGCCACCACACTGCCGCCACCACCGCCGCCGCATGGATTATTCATTTCACTGTGGCTTTTTCGCTTTATTGAGGGCCAGATAAAAATCAGTTCCCCCGGGCGGGCCGGTAGCGGCCCACGCCAATGAGGTGGCGAAGTGGGTGCACCGGAGGGCAGCGGGCCCACCGCCTGCCACACTGCCACAGGCCGCCTGCCAGGCTGGCGGCATCGCTGCTGCTTAGGCTGCTTAGCAACCGATTGCTCGGATTAGAGTCTCCAGATGATCGGATGACCATACGGCCTCGCTACCTACCTCCCGCGTGGAGCCACCGCCGCCATACAGATAGGGTGACCGCTTGGCCCGCAGCCAGAAGGCCTGTTGGCTCAATAGGCCGTCGGATGGGAGGCTGGCTGTGGTTGGCTGGACATTCGGCCTGGTGGCTGCACGCTAGTTACTCGCCCACTCGGTCACTTGCCTGTTGATTTTTGACCGTTTTTGGTCAACTGCGGCCAGCTGGCCTGTTGACCAGAGTCCTGCTGAGAGAGCTGCCTGCTAGCTCACCATTTTCGACAAGTCCCGCACCTCCCTTGTCCCGAACGACTTCTTTATGAACGAGACATTTTATGAATGACACACAAATCCCGCGGCAGACGATTCCGAATTATTCCACACCCTTTTCACTTCCTTGTCGGGCCGTCCGTGGGTCCTAAGGTCCGAGGCGGTGAGGACAAGAAGTAGTGCTTGGCCACGCTCGTTCCCGCCGTGTACGACACGTGTTCTAGCAGCGACGCGGACGAGCGGACGGACGGACGGACAGACACGGGACACAATGAATTGAAGTACGAGTGGGGTGTAACTTACCGCCGCGGCCGCGAGACACAGTGAGGCACACAATGCGGTGGCTTCCCGAAACTTGGATTCATATCTCACTGTAGGTGGGTTGGGCACACTGGTCGAGCACGCCGAGCGCGGCGTCACCGGTGGTCCGGGACCAGTGGTCCGGCCAGCGGAAGGGCAGGCCAGGCACTTCCTCCGAACGCATCGGCCTTGGCTCCAAAAATATCGTCAGTTCATGTGGTATGCGTGAAGGTACGTCCCTCTGTGTGTGTGTGTGAACCGGGAAGGCGCGCCGACCACCTCGGAACATGTTGCACTTGCAATTAACAGGCCGCTCAAAATTGAGTCGTGGCGGTGCAGTGCGGAGCACCGCCTTCTTCGGATGACTTTTACTTTTCTGCGGTAATAAAGTTGTTTCGCTGCTCCCTTTATTTATTTATTTTTTAATTTTATTTTCCCACCAGGACATGCCGCACACAAAGGTCGAAAGGGGAAAGTACTTAAGGCCAAGTGCTCACACCGGACTTGGGTAATCAAGGGCCGCGGGGACTACAGGAGACTGCAGGCCCCCCGCGTGCAGCGCGCAGGGCACTGCAGGGCCAGCATCGTAAATTTCCCTTTTATTTTACAAGAGAAACTCCAATTTTGCGCAGCAGGGTCGAACCAAGGTCCTATACACCCCGGAAAGTGACGCTTCTTCAATGAAACGAGCAGTCTGCAGAGCAAAGCAGCCGCGAAGCCAGACGGGACAAGAACTACACCGAAGGGTGGCATCCATGTCGCACGTAGTGCCAACCCAACCTCAGCTAAGCAAGTAGACTTCTATAAACAGTGAAAGATAGTCCGCTGACATCAATATGACGTCACTGAGTGTTATTCGTGTTCTATAGGGGGCCTCACAGAGAATTCGTATGACAATCGTGATTCTGAACGTCCACGCCCGAATGCTCACGTGTGCGTGGATGCGTGCGTGTGTGTGCGTGCGCGGGTTTGATAGGGGTGGAAATCGGGGTCGGGGCGTCCGCAAGCGACAGCCACAGTCCTATTTTACGGGCCCAGGCCGAAGTTGGGGTGTTTCAGGAACTGTTCACGGCGCGGCTGGCGCGGCCAAGTTGGGCCATCCGTCTGGCGGCCCGCCCCGCCCCGCCCCGCCACACCGAGGAGCGCCCTACGGCCGGCGAGGCGAGGCGGGGAGAACCCCGTGAGTCATTTTCAAAAATTCCAGCGCCACTGCTGTTCCCTCCTTTTTATTTTGTTGAAAAGCGCGCGCGTGGGTTTCGAGCAGCGGGCGACAAATGGCGGGCCGGTGGGGGCGTGGCTGGCTGGCTGGCTGGCTGGCTGCCTGGCGGCGGCGGCCCCGCGGGCCGCAGGCCGGGACGCCCTCTGCCGCGCCGCCACGACGGATGGCCCGAGTCGCGGGGCGCACACACACACACACACACACACACACACACACACACACACACACACACGCACACACGCACACACACACACGCACACACACGTACGCGCGCGCGGCGGCACCAACAGAAATTTATAGCGCAAGTTACCAAGTTACCTGGACTGCCCTGCTGGCGGCTGACGCCCCCGCGTCGCGCCGCGCCGCGCTCGCATCCCCCATAAAATATTTTCGACAAAGTGTGCTCTCTTATTGTCGCGGAGCCACGGCGAGTCGCGGAGGGCGGGGCGGGGCGGGGCGGGGCGGGGCGGGGCGGGGCACCGCGGTGCATTGTACGTGTGAAAGCAGCACAGCCGAGTCCCCTCCCTACTAAAAGTGGGCAAGAAATAAAACGAATGCCATTTCCCAACCACAGGAAAGTAATATATATATTTATAGTATATTTATATATATTTTCGTAGAAAAAATAATCTAGTTTCTAAGTTTATCACCCCCTAATAAATTAACAGTTATGTCATGTCCGAACCAATAACATAATCATATAAATTTTCGTTCAAAATCTATCTTGTTCCAATGTTGATAACCCCATGATAAATTAACAGTGCACATGATACGCCAAAAAATTTGTAACAATTGTCACTTAAAGCGACCACAAAGTCGACACCGGTAGCAAACAATACCCATACAAAATTTAGAGTGTATACAGTCAGCGCTAAAAAAAACAAAATTGTATAAAAAGGTCCATGTGACGTCAATTCGTTTAACAACTGACATCTGAAATCACTCAAACACCGCAGTATCAACCCGATTGATACAACCATCAACACGAGAACGGAGTGCGGAAGCAGTCAGACTGCGTCGCACGCGTTCCAATTTGTTAAGTGCCTAAGTTACCCGGGGCTAGACGGCCGTGGGCTTGTTGGAGTTGCGCGGGCCGTGCGCCCGGTGCTTCGGCTTGCCTCTGCCTCTCGACCGGACGGGTCCCGGCGCTGCCGACGCGGCTTGCTGCTGGCCATGCTGGCCGGCCGGGGCCGCCTCCTCCCTGGGGTTCGGCGCGTTCTGCGGCCGCGGCCGGTGGTAGTAGGGACCGCTGGACGCGCCGCCTGGGAACCTTAGGCCGCCTCGGCCGCCGTGTCCATGGGGGTGTCCGCCGGCAGGGTGTCCGCCAGCAGGGTTTCCGCCGAAGTGCGGGCCACCGCGAGGGCCACCACGACCACGGTGTGCTCCAGGGTGGAAGCCTCCTGGGTGGTGTCCTCCAGGGCGGCCTCCAGGGTGTCCCTCGCCGAACCCGTTGTAGCGCCCTTCTCCGTGCCTCCTCTCTCCTCCGAAGTGACCTCCGTGGTGTCCCCTTGGCGCGCCCCGCCCAGGGTGCCCAAGGTGTCCCCGCGCCCTCCAGGACCCAGGTTGTTCCTGTATCCGCTCCGGCCGGTTGTGATTCTTCCGCTGGATGCCGACGCCGTTCTGCGGTGGCGCCGCTCCTCTGGACTGAAATCAACCACAGCATTACTTCATGCACCCAAAAGATACAATCCTCACGATCGAAATGCCCAGAGGGGTCTCGCTTACTCTGTGCAGGTCGGAGAGGTAGTTGGTGCGCTCTATGTTGTGGCCCCTCGCCTGGTTGAAACCTGTGACACGAAGACACATCACCGTAGAAAACGCGCAAACACGAGCGCGTAAGGCCCAATCCGAAAAACTCACCTTCTATCGCATTTTCGGGCGACCACTTTAGCCTATCGATCATGTACCTGAAACACAAGGCGGTAAAGGATTCAAAGAGTTTGCAGGCGCGATGGTGCGACAAAATTAGAGAGTCAGAAAATTGAGCGAAAAAAAATAAATTGGCTAACAAATCGCCTACTTACTTGCAAACTAGATAGCCCGTCCGGTTGAGTCCGTGAGTGCAGTGGACGCCAATCAGACCTGCGCAACAGACCGATTAGCATCACAGAAAAAAAAACACGGTTTGGAAATCCATCAAAAAGCAGCCGCAGCTGCGCCAAGCTCACCATCCCCCTCGGGGTTCTGGTCGAGGTACTCGTCCACGACTTTGAAAAACCTGCAACAAATCAAATCGTCCATTGGCGCGCTCGGTACGTACTGCCTGGCACTGCCGGACAAACGACGACTCGTTTGGAGTTCAAAGGCGACGCGCCGTCCGCCGCGGGCGTCGCGAGGCGGGGCGGGGCGGGGCGGGGCCCAGGGTGATAACACGTCGCCACCACGCAACCCCTCCCCTAGCAGGCCATGTTGATGCAGACGTCGACTAACTGCGGCTCATCGCTCCACAAAACCCCAAATTTATGTGGGCCATTTTTTAGCGTTGTCTGGTGGCCGCTATCAGGCCATGCTGGCCGTGCTGGCCGTGCTAGTGACGGGCGATGCGATGCTACGCCGCCGTGCCCCCCCCCCCCCCCCCCCCCCCCCCCCGCGTCGCAGCCACCCTCCCCGAGTGCCACCCTGCTTTGCGTCCTACAGCGTCTCACTGCAGTCGAGCCTTTTCCGCCATTCGGGCACCGATTCAAAGCCCTTACTTCAACATCAAAGTAGAAAATTTTTCAAATTTTTACCATTTGACTGACTTGAAAATTTTGCCTCGACTTTGGGTTTGGTTCGTCCAGGCGGACTCCCGTTTCAATCCTGTATGATTCCCTCCCCCCCCCCAATCCTTATTCCGGCAGCCTACTGCCAATAGGAGCGCGAGCCTGGACAGCAAGTCATGACGCGGAACGGGCCGCTCTGTCTCTGTCGCACGCGAAGGGCGAGCCGTAGGGGTGCGAGAGAGACAGCGCGACTGTTCGATGAATCGGACCATACTACAGTGTGCAGCACAGGGGGAGCGCGTCGTGTAAAAGGTTGGACCCATCTCCCCTCGGACGGGGCACGACGAGGCGGCGCGCGCGACAGCGACCCCAACAGGTGTTGAGGCCGCCCCGCCCCGCCCCGCCCCTCCCCTCGGAGATATGAGGCGTGGCGACCGCCCAATTTGGGGGTGCGCGTGCGGCGTGCGGCGCGGCGCGCGGGGCCGGCCAACAGTGTGTAACAGTGTGGCCGCCCCGCCGGTGTTTAGCGGGCTGGAGTGACAGAGGGTGAAATCGTGTGGCGGGAAGGGCAGGGAATCTCAGGCATCCAGGCATTCCCAAATTACGTGGCGACGCTCCCATGGCCCCTCGGCGGGCCTCGGCGGGCCTAGGCGGGCCCGGACGCGAGCGCGAGGGAGACGGCAAGCGTCCTGGAGCCACCTCATAACGACACGGCAACAAATTCAATCTCCGGTCGGATTCACTGCGGCACGCTGTCTCGCTCGGTCTCGCCCAGAATGTCGACTATTCGGTTCGGCCTCGCCTGTGGTCCCGCGACGAGCACCCGCCGCAGTCGCTCTGTCTCTCTCGCTCCGTCCCGGAGAGCCCCACGAGCGCGACAGAGACAGAGCGAGGCGGACGCCCGTTAAAATGTGTAAATATCAACACGGCATTATCATTTTTCGGCAATTAGTCGTGACACGGCATGCCGGGCGGGGGCTCAGTCGCTCCGTCTGTCTCGCACTCGCTGGCCAAGCCCAGGCGCGCGGGGCGTGGGGGTGCGAGAGGGACGGAGCGCCCGGCAGGTAGGCAACCCATCGTCCATGCGCGCCACGACGCCCAAACCTTGCCTTTCACGGTTTGGCGGTTTTGCAATCGACAAACGGGGTTCGAGCACAGACAGCTTCAGACAGCGGAGAAAGGAGCCCGATGGGTTGCCTAGCCCCAAGGCGACGGCGCGCGCGTTTAGAGAGACACTCGCGAGGAGACGGACATGCGATGCACTTTATGCTGCACAGAGTGCAGGGGGCCCCGGCAAGGCGGTTACCTAAGGCGGGACGTCGTAACCCTTTCCCATCGAGTCCTCCTCCTTCCTGGCCTTCCTGGCCTTCCACAGGCTCCACCTCCTCTGCAGGTGGCCCCCGCCCCCTCGAGACCCCCACGGCCCTTTGAGAACGCCGCCCCCACCCCCGACTTGTTTATGTGTGCGTGTGTGTGTGGTGTGCTTGCGTCTCGCTTTTTAACCTCCGCCCCGCCCTGGGCCGGGCCGGTCGGCGCGGTCCCTCGCTGGTGCTGGAAGCCCCGGGGGCTACTCATCCCCCATTTAGGCCTACTTAGTGCCGCCTGCCGCGACCTGCCGCCCCAAACGGCCGTGTGATATGCTATGACACACTCACACACGCGCACACACACGCACGGAATGGGCGTGATAGTCGTGCTTTATGGCCTTCTGCCCCGCGGGGCACCGCCACGCCACGCCACGCACCGCCATGATTCAGGCCGGATCAAGCAAGCAACCCCAACCCATTCAATAAGTCAAGGACCGACTAGGTCCGCTCCCTTCGTTTGGTCCGTTTTGGCAGTTTGGCGGCCGTTACCACACCGCTAGGCATGCGTACCTTTTAACCACGTAGGGCGGCGGGATCTGGTGGCCGGGGCACATGATCTTCTCGTGGGCCACCCCCTTGGCGCGGAAGGCCTGCAAAGACACGTCAAATAGTCGTTTTCGTCGCTCTGTCTCCATCGCGCCTATACGGCACGCCCCAAGAGAGCGAGAGAGACAGAGCGACTACTCTCGGAATGTTTTTCCTCACCTGCGGGTCGTAGTAGCGGTTCGTGTTCGTGATGTCCACGACGAGCCCCAGCTTGGACATCTCCTCCAGCAACGAGTCGATGGTGTGCCATTGCTGCTGGGGCACGCCGGTCCGGCGGAATATCTCCTGCAAACAACATCAACGTCATCAGCGTCCTGGACGGCCACGACGGCCACGGCGGTCACTTCCCGGAGGTTCCCGGAGGTTCCCGGAGGGCACGCTACATAAAGGGCTGCGCGGCGACGGCGCGGCGACGGCCATGGCCGCGGACAGGGGGCGGCCGGCCGGGATGCATGCGTGGCCGTGCCGTGCCGTGCCGTGCCGTGCCCTGCCGCATGCACAAGTTCATGTGAGTTATGCTTTTGGGGCGCTGTAAATTATGAGCCATCTTCGGGCACCACGACGACCAGGACGCCACCACGACGCCGGGGCGGGGCGGGGCGGGGCGGGGCGGCGTGCAGGCGATGTGGATTGCGACCACCAGCCACGCCCGGGCAACGCCGCGCCATATGCAGAGCGCCGTGCCGTGCCGTGCGTACCGCTCACACGATGCCCGTGCATCTTCCGTTTTTCTTATTTTCCGTTCGTCTTTTTTTTTTTCAACCGGACTGCACCATATAGGTTGCACACACGGGGAGGAAGGACGCCCGGAAAGCGGAAAAGTGGGACGCGAAAGTGGCGCCGCCAAAACGATCAGTGTCTCAAAACAACGACAATATAACGCCGAAAAATAAAAACGGCTTCGTTACGACGAGTGTCCGAAATGCGCGCGTGTCAGAGCCGCCGTTGGTACAGGCGGACAAACAGACTTACAGACGGGCAGACAGACAGACAGACAGAGGGACGGGCAGCGCGCAAAGAAGGCGACGTTCCAGACGCGCATAAAGTCCTCCTTATTAAATTTCCTCCGACAATAAATTATCAGTGTATAAATTTGCAGAGTGCCGAATATCGACAGCGGGGCGGCCGGAGTGTCGGAGTGCCAGGCGTCACGGGCGGGCGGCGGGGCTGACTGATGCCGAGAGTCGTTCTCGTCGCTCTGTCTCTCTCGCACTCGTCGGGCGTCCCTTGCAGGTGCGAGAGAGACAGAGCGACGACTCTCGGAATCAGTCTGCTGGCAGTGTGCTGGCAGGGCGAGCACGAGCCGTTCATTACGCAAAATAAAAAAAAATAGATTTATAGTACGCGCCAAAAACGAGGAGCAAGATTATTGCCAAACACACGGAGAAACAAACAACCCCGAAAAACAAAGAGGAGCGGCGGACGGTGGCGGAGGGGGAGGGGGAGGGGGAGGGGCAAGCGAGGGGGTGCAATAAAGATTGCAGAAGGAGAGAGGGGCGCTCATCTGCATGCTGCTTAGGCCGCTTTGTGCAAAACGCCGCCATCTGAGATGCGCGGGTGAAATGCTGCTGCACTGCCGTGCGCTTGATGACCTCACGCTGCAGCGCTGCACCACACTGCAGTGGGGCCACCACACTGTATCATGCCGGTAGATCCCCGCCCGAGCACAATGGCGTCCTCATCATGCTAAAGAGACGTGACACTCCGTGAGGGACGTGAGGGCCCCTATGCCGACAGTTTTTTTATCAATTACCCCCCCCCCCAAAAAAAAACAAAAAAAAACACGAAAAAGTGGGGAAAATGAGGAGACGGGGAGGGAAAAACGGGTGGATAGGACAACAGCGTCTCTCCGATTTCCCCATAATTCACGACACGGCTAACTGGAGAGAAGCATCTCGCGGCTTCGACTCAAACACAAACTAAAAGTTTTTTTTTTTCTCTCCTTCAAAATTTTGAAACAGATTTCCTCTTTTCCGCCTGGCTATCCGCGCGCGCGACGCCGTCCTCGCGGCCCCGCGACTTGTTAGACGTCGTCCTGGAAGGAGGGGACCTTGTCCGGGGCGGGGCACGCGGCCTTCCACAGCCTCGCTTCGCCTTGCTTCGACAAGGCGTTGCAAGGCGTGCGACATGGACTTCCCCCCTGCCCGCCTCGCCAGAGCCAAGCAGAGCGCCGTTCCGAACGTCGCCGTCTCTCTCGCGCTCGTGCGGCGCTCCCTGTCGGCGAAGAGAGACAGCTGCCTCTCTCTCTCTCTCTCCCCTCAGCCAACAAGCAATGGCAGATTCGAATCTGAAAAGAAGTGGCCGCCCTCCGGGAACCTCAGGGGGACCTCAACCTCCGCGCCACGTAACGACGAGACGGACCACTGTAACGTCCCAACCCAACGTGCAGCGTGCGGCATACTGCACGGCAGGGCGCGGCGCGGATACCCCACGCCCCATGCAGTCGCTGCAGCGGGGAGTATATCTGGCCGACAAATCTGCGACAACCCCTGCCGCCCTGCCTTGCCGCCTCGCAGCGCCGCCGCAGCGCCTCGGACAGAAATTCCAGGCAGTGCCAGGCAGTGGGCGAGTGTGTAGACAAGCATGGCGCCACTCGCTCCCCGGGAGTCTGTGCCCCCCCCCCCCTCCCTCGCCTCGCTCGGCCCTTCGGCCCTCTCGCAGGTAAACTTACTACTGGAATCGGAGCGCCCCCCCTGGAGCGCGCCCTGGCTCCAGTCCGGCCAACCCCGGCCGGACTGCCCTGGACTGCCCCGCGGCCCCACAAAACAATATCGTTTGTTTCCACCACTTTCGTTGGCCGCTCCTCTTTCTTCTCCTTTCCAATAATTAATTCAGACGAGAGACGAGGCGCCGGACAACAGCCGTCGCCACGCGGGGCGCACAGCAGAGCAGACCTGTGGCAGAGCGACGCGCGCGCCATCTGGCGGCGGACGGCGGCGGCAACGGGATGAAGCGGTCACAACGCGGTCACAGACACCACCGGACGGACCATCAGTCAGGCCAAACGTTTCATTCGTCAGTGACAACTCCATCAGGGCCATCGGGCTGCCATCGGGCTGCCATCGGGGCGAGGGCGAGGCGAGGGAGACGACACGAAACCGAAACGCACCCAAACGGCAGCGTCTCCTTGGCGGGCCCACGGCGGCCCAGCCTCAGCCCGATGGAGATGGAACCAGAGGACGGACGCTACCGACGCGGCGGCCAGCCGGCAGCCAGCCAGCTCGCGGACTATGCGTTTGGCCTTCGACCGCCCGCGCGCTGCACCGCTGCACCTCCGTCGCGCTGTCTCTCTCGCACTCGCGGGGCGTGCCGAGTAGGTGCGAGAGAGACAGCGCGACCGCGGCAGCGTGCGGCAGCCAGCCCCGCGGCGTGAAGACGTCCACAACAATCCCCGTGCCCATTGATACCGACCAATAATCAATGTAATAAATAGTCCTGGCCGCAGGGTTGTTAACGCTAACTTAGCGACTAGCGTTGCTAACTTAGCGCGCTAACGCTAATTTAGCGATTAGCGTTAGGCGCTAAACATTTTGGGAGGCGTTAGCTTTAGCGTTAGTACGCTAACATGCCCTTTAGCGATTTAGCGGTGCTAACGCTAATTCGGCTCTTGCAACCGGTCAGAGCTTACTTGATTCTTGCCGAGATACCCGCTTTTTTCTCCCCTCTGGGCGGGCTTCCCGGGGCCGGGCGGGTATGCCCCGTATTCCCCCTCTCCGCTCGCCCACCCGGCGTCGTGTTTCAGCTTCAGCGTATTAGATCTGAATACAAGTTGAAATATATAAAGAATAAATGAAAACATAAGTTGTTTTTTTGGGGACTAAGACTGATTTAACTGTGCCATTGCATATTAATTGTTATATTTGCCTGCCTTTTAAGCCTGAGAAAGTTTTCTAGCGTTAGCATCGCTAAATAGCGTTAGGGCTGCTAAATCGCTTTTTAGCGTTAGGGCCGCTAATTCGCTTATTAGCGTTAGCGCGCTAAAACTTCTCTTAGCGGCAGATTTAGCGCGCTAAATTTTTCGAACAGCGCTAATAGCGTTAGCGTTAGCGCGCTAAAGTTTCAAATTAGCGTTAACAACCCTGCCTGGCCGGCGCGGCGGCGGGGCGAGCAGGGCAGCAGGGCACCGCAGGGCCAGGAGGCACCAGGACGACTCCGAGCGGCGCTCCCGTCGCTCTGTCTCCCTCGCACTCACGGCGCGTCGCGACGGCGTGCGAGCGAGACGGCGCGGCCGTTTGGAACCGCTGTCTGGGATTCATCACTCACACTGTGCGCTACGCTGTGCTACGCTGTGCTACGCTGTGCTGCGCGGGGCTGCGCCGCGGCTACGCCTCGCCACGCCCCGGTGTTGGAGCAACACGTCAGGGCGAACCATTAGCACGGCCAGCATCGCCAGCACCGAGAGCCACATCACTTCACTTCACATTGCATCGCGCCGCCGCGCGTCGCTGGCCCTCTGGCCCTGCCGGCCGGGCCTGGCCCCACCGGCCCCCATGATTGATCGACCGCCAAACAACAACAACACCTGTCAGAGGGGGGGGGGGCAGCTCGTTTTGCTTGCACTGCTTGCACTTGCACTGCTTGCACTGTGCGCATCAAGCCCGAAAAAAGTCTGCCCTCGCATCGGCGTCGTTCCCTGACGCGGTTCTGGTCCGAATTTACGGCGGCGTATTGGCGGCGGCGCGGCGAGGCGAAGGTGGAGATTTTCCCAGAGATTTTCTCTCCCCGGCACTGTAAGGCACACCGCCTGGGCACCGCGTCGGCCGGCGGCTCCCTGGGCCTTTGATGGGGTGAGATTTTCATTTCGGCCGATCATGACGTCGCCCCGCCCCGCCCCTGGCCGCGCCACGCCCCCACGCCTCGAGGGCCTCGACGGGCTGCTCCAGGATGTCCAGTCAGCCCTGCGCTGGAACCTGCAGGGCCGGGAAACGGTCGAGAATCCGACCATCCAGGACGTCCAGAGGAAATGCAGGTTTCCCAGGGCATCTCCTGGGCCCGCCAGAGGGCGCACGGTAAGCCATGGGGCCGGCGCCAGGCGGCCAAAACTCTAGACGTGTGTTGAGCCCCAGAGTCGCTGAGCAGGACTCGAGTCGAGCGTGTGACTCCACCAATGGATTGCTCTCCGAACGAGGAATCCATTGATGGGGTCACACGTTGAATTCGGGTCCCATTTAGCGACTCTGGAGCTCAAAAGGCGTTTGGAATTTCGGCCGCCTCCACCGGTCTTCTCTGGCCCACTGTGCGCCCTCTGGCTGCAGCTTCCAGAGCGCACCCAGATCACTCTCAGATCCGCCGGGCCCGCCGCGGCGCGCCGTGAGTGGACATCCAGATCCTGCAGGGCAGCCAGATCCCGCTCCAGATCGGCCCGGACTCGGCCGCCGGCCGGCCAGGCTTTCCAGGCGGGGAGGCACAAAGCCATAATCGTCACGCGATATGCACACAAATTATGTGTATTCGTAGCGGTGCGCCACAACGCCACGGGGCAGGAAGGGCATCGGAGAATGACGCAATCGGACAATAAAACGGACACACACACACGCACACACACACACACTCGCAGGCACGCGTGCACAATGCAGCCAGCAAATCTCGCCACAAACTACCCCCAATAATGCGGTGATATTGAGATGTCACACCGCGTGTGTGAGTGCGTGTCCGTGTGTGTGGTCGGACTGACCCGCGGAGGGTTAGGTTCGGGGGACACCTCCAATGGGGCGAGGGGAAAGCAAGCAGCAGCCGGCCAGCCCGAGCAGCCAGCCAGGCGGGCAGCCAACCGGAAGTGGTTCCGAAAGAGCGCGCGCTTGTAGGTAAAAGTAGCGAGGGGGACCCAAAAGGCCAGCCCGGCCGGCCTGGCCCGCCCCTCGCATTACCACGCATTACAGACACGCGTGCCGTGCCGCGTGTCCTGCCCTGCCCGTGACAGCATCCGCTAATGCATACCAAATCACGTCGCCATTTTGGCGGCACACTGTCAAAAACGGTTCCATAGTGAGGACGCCACGCACAGTGGGCCAGAAGACCGGTGGGAGCGGTCAAAACAATCCCGGACGGGTTTTGATGTCCAGAGTCGCTAAATGGGACTCGTGTGACCCCACCAATGGATTCCTCGTTCGGAGAGCAATCCATTGGTGGGGTCACACGATCGGTTCGAGTCCTGTTCAGCGACGCTGGAGCTCAAAACGCGTCTGGAGTTTTGTCCGCCTCCTCCACTGTGCCGCGGCAAGGCCGGCAAGGGGGTTGCAATTGCAGCTCCTCGTTAGCGAGTCCCTTTATGAGGCCATCCATCCCAGGGGGCGGTTCAGAGTCTCCGTCTCTCTCCCTCTCGGCCCCGCGACGCTACGCGACGCCAAGCGAGGCGAGCCGCGAGTGCGAGAGAGACAGACGCAGCGCCACATCGCGCGGATTGGCCATCAAGAGGGCAGCGAGCCACAAAGTGTACAAAGCCCCCCCCCCCGCGAACCGCTCTTCAGAACAGCTCAAATATTTTAGGGGGATTTTCAAGCAGAACTGCTGCACATTTTGCAATTGGCCCCAAATTTCTAGGATGTTCAAGCAGGCCAAATTTTAACGGTTTCAATCATTCTTCATCCACTTCTGAATTTTTTTAAAATCTTTTTTACAGAATTTAAGGCAGCTCATGCAGTTGAAGCCCGCAGCCGGGCAGTCTCAAGAATTAGCGCATGATAAATGGATGGATGAAAACACTTCGGGGGATCGGAGGGCCTGGGCCGGGCCGGGGCGCGGCGGGGGGCACCTTGGGGCACGGCCAGGCACGGCCACATCCCCTCTGGGGGCTCCGGGGCCCTGGGTGGCGGCAGGCGCGGCCGGGCGCGGCGGGCACACACGCACACACACGCACTCACACCGACGGGCGCGTCCAGGAACGCTCTCCATGCACGCGCATGCCTCCATTGACGAGGGCCCGGGGTAATTGAATCGGTGTCATCGTCGGACGTGGAGGACGAGGAGGATGACGTGCAGGACGACAACAAAGTGTTGCACCAGGGCGACGACGTTGGCGGCTAGTTCCACTCCCGCCTCCCTCGCACTCGCGGCGCGTCAAAGGGTGCGAGAGAGACGCCCGCGAGCCGCGTGAATGTCGCCCATTCGATGTCGGCCACTCCGCCGAGGGGATTGGGTGGCGCGAGGCGAGGCAGCGCGACGACGCGGCGGCGCTACTCTTTTATGGAGTGTTTTATGCCTCGGACTGTCGGACCACCGATGTGGCACTTTGTGTGCTGCGCCCGGCAGCGCCCGGCAGCGCCGCCAAAGACGGCCGGGCCGCTCGAGTCGGGTCCGAGACGGGTCCGAGACCCCCGTAAAGCCGGAGGGCCGGCCTCTTCATTAGGGAGATGGCCAGGACGCCGTCGTCGGCGGCCGGCGTGTCATCGCGGCGGTCATCGGCGTGGTCGTCAGGACGGCGTGCAGGTGGCGGCGGCTCTGCATACAACACCGGCTAATGCGGCCCCTCCGCGCCAACGCGCGCCCCGACGCCCGGGCGGCCACTTCCCGCGTCCTCGCGCTCGTCAAGGAAGACGTCTTCGTGTAGGGCCGTCGAAAGTCGCCGGCCCGGCGCGCAATGGGTCGAATAAAGCCGTTTACGACCTATTAAACGGGGCGGCCGCGCCGGGCCGAGCAATCCCGATGAAGTACACCTGTCCGGAAGGGCGCCGCCGCGACCGCCGCGACGACGAGGACGACGAGGACGCGGAGCTCCTTGCCGCCGCGGAGTGGTCGTTGGCGGAAGCGCCGCGAATCAGACAAAGTGAGGGGCGGACAAACAAGAGCGAGGGAGCGCGCACACTGCCCGCCCCGCGAGTGCGAGCGAGAGGGCGCGACGATGTTCGGAATCAACATGCTGGGAGTGGCGCGGCGGCCCCGCGGCTGCATGGCGGCAAGGTACGCCCTCCGGACTCGACCGCCTCGCCGCCTCGCCGCGGTGCAACGACCTACCCCCCCCCCCCCCCCCCCCCCCCCCCCGCCTGCAACATCCCCTGGCGCCTGCTGTTTGCGCCCCAGACTGATTCCGCGGGAGGCCTGCCTCTCCCCCTCTCTCTCGCACTCGTGCGACGTCCCGTCCAGGTGCGAGAGAGACAGAGCGACTCTGGCGGCGTTCCGCCCTCTCTCGTGGCGCCGCCAAGACCGTCGAGTGCTCCAGGCTCCATCCACTCGGCCGCCGCGCAACACTGAGTAGCAGTGTGGCCAACCGGCCAACCGCGGCGGCGCTAAAATGCCAAAACGCCCAAATTCGAAGCAAAGGGTTGTCGCCCTCTCCGCAGACATAAAGCAGGCCCTCTCGAGCGACCGCCGCCGCCCGGGACCCACTCGGCCCTGGCGTCCTGGCCAAACGGAATGGGATTATAAATAAAAATTTTAATGATGCATTTCCATAGGAATGCATACAAGGGACGAAGTGACTCTCTGGAGGCCACCCTCTGCGAACGCTAGGCCCCTCCATGCCCACCGCCACCCCGCGTCTGTGCCCAGGTGCGAGAGAGCGCCGCGGAGTGGAGTACAGGAGACAGAGAGAGAGAGAGGGGGGGAGCACCCAGTCGCAGGGGAACTGAGCGCGCCGGGCGGCGATACTCCGCGCCCCAGTTTGGTCCGGAACGCGTGGAGTAATCGACCGATCATTTGATCGGCAACTGATACCTCACGGCGACGCCCGGCCAAGACTTCAACGAGCAAATCGACAATGTTTCTAGCGTTTCTCCTCCAGTTGTTTATCCCATTTCTGACCGTCACGGTCCGATTTCTGAAAGAGTCACAACACTTTTGGACTTTCTTTGTGGACGTTCGTTGGGCCCCCGACCCGAGGAGTCAAGATGGGGCAGCCCGGGGCTTAGGCCGGCGTCGGGGGGCTTTTGGGTGGTTTTGGTCCAGGTTTGGTGATATTCGTTATGGCATTCTTTTGTGTCCCTTATCAAAGCGATTGTCTGACCCCAGCACGGCCGCCACGGCTAGGCCACGGCCCTACCGCAGACACAAAGAAATTAGAATGCGTCGAGGGTGGCATGGCATGGCTAGGCCGGGCTAGGCATGGCGGGGCGAGCGTGGGGCCGTGGGGTCTCCTCCCCCCCCCTCTTCGTACCTCTGGATCTGCGCCTGCCGAGAGATTCCGAACAGTCTCTCTCTCTCTCGCACCACGACGAGACGTCTCATGAGTGCGACAGAGACAGAGCGACGAAACGGGACGCTGCTGGACGGCGCCGCTATACTCCGCGTGCGTGCATTGTACGCGTACGGTTCGTGTTCCACTCGGCAATAAATAATTTGGGAACATTCGAGCCGAGGTGCGAAGTGAGCGGCGCGGTGGGGAGGCCGCGGTGGCAGGCCCTTCACCGACACCACGGCATGGCAATACCGCCCCATCAAGACAAACAAAGCCATCACACTGCTTGCTATTGTTTTTAAAAAAATTCTTCACATTTTGAGAGGATTACAGTGGACTTCTTAGTCGACTCTTTGGTGGTTTTGCCATGCGCTCCCTGGCTCGTGATGCAGTTCGGCAAGACTCACCTCTCTCAGTGGCACCTTGAAGGCAAAAAATCTAGTCCCTGGTATAACCCCGCCCACACTTTTGTATGGCAGCCATCTGTAAATTACAACGACGAGTCAAGAAAAGGGTTTGAAATGGTGCAAGCTAGACAGTTTAACATCGCAAAGTAAAATATGTTTGGCACTAAAATACTTCAGACACAATTAATCTGTGACCTAACTCAATGAATATTGGACAAATCAGCAAAAATATTAACAAGACAGAACCAAGGGATATAGGAAAAGGTTCAATGTTAGTGTCACAAATATAAACAAAAAGTGCAAAGGTTTTCAATAAAAAGATCCTTAATAATTATTGCCAGTGGGTACAAGGGGGAAATGGAACACCCACATACAAAGCTGAGCCAAATGGCAATGCACTAGGTAAATATTTTGCCTAAAATTCATCTTGAACAATGAAATTATCCAAAAAGAGACTATGTTGTCGTTGACAACACTACATAAACATAACCTAAGCTCCGACCAAAGAACGGATTTGCATTATGATTCTGTAAAACTAAGCAATAACAATCACCTGTCCGGTATTGGTGAGGGTCCTTTTCCCATCTTTTCGTTTCAGAGTGAAGAACTTTCTCTTTTGATACAAGCTCAGAGTGAAAATACACAAAATACAGCAAAAATTTAGATCACGTTGAATCGAAAGGTGGAGGTGGAGGTGGACAGACACTAAACATGTGGTGGGAGAAAAATTAATCACATACACAATCTTATTCAAATTCTAGAAAAGTGGACTATGACGTATGAATTTTTTTACGGTAAAAACTGATTGTGGGATTAAAGTTTATCTTCAACTGTTTTGCAATTAATCCATAGAGGATTTAAATTAATAACTTTTTAAAGCTGAAAAGAAATCAGCTTTGATAGCTAGATTTCTCACCTTTCAAAGGCGCCAAGTTCTCTGCTTCTTTCTAGAGGGCTACGACCAGCTACGACAACCTTTCGATGTTATAATTTTAATTTTAATTTTCCCTTCCCCTATAAAGTTTGGGCTGATTACGGCTCGTTTGAAAACTGGTGTTTAGTAGTTCAGAGGTCTTTCCGGTCGTGTTGAATTTTTTACCCCTAAAATGTTCAGCAGTTAAAAATAAACTGAAAAGTAAACAAGGCATCCCAGTGAAACATAACCTCAGACATCATGACTGATTTTATGGATCACAGGAGAGAAGAGCGGGAGAAAATAGGGCTGGAAGGTGCAAGAGGTGTTTGGGGAAGATCACCTTCGCGCTGTGATGAGTGAGTTATCTGCTGCTAGAAAGAAGTAGAAATTCAACTGAATCCTGTGTTGTAATGAGTCTTGATTCCCATTGCGCTGTCTGCATCTTTTTATTTTTTTATTTCCAGCTCGGATACTTCAGAATATTTGATAGAGGCGGCTAAACGGAAGAGAGAACAACCTGACGCAGATGCTCCTGATAGCAAAAAGTCTAAGAAAGAAAAAAAGAAAAAGAAGAAACACCACAAGGAACACAAGTCAAAGGTAGTGTTCAGTGATTGCTTGTTGTTTGTGATGGTTAATTTTTGATATGATATTCACCCAGTTTTATCCCTCTTTGCAAACAACAGAAATCCAGCAAAAAGAAGCGCAAGAAGGAGAAAAAGTCAAAGAAATCCAAAAAGAAGCGAGATTCATCTTCAAGCAGCTCGTCAGATGACAGTGACTCTGAAGCACAATGGGTGGAAAAGGATGGTAAGTGACCAGTCCTTGTCGTATGTATTACTGCTTTTAATGAAAGTGGTTTCGATTACACTCTCCATGTGTGTGATTACAGTGGCCCAGAGAAAGTCTCGAAGATCCTCCTCCTCCTCAGATGACGAAGATGGTGTTGTAGGCCCTGTTCAAAGCTCTCATGGGGGATTATCTGCCAAAGACTTTGGCAAGGCTTTACTTCCCGGTGAAGGTGCTGCAATGGCAGCGTATGTTGCAGATGGAAAACGTATTCCACGCCGAGGTGAAATTGGCTTAACATCTGATGAGATAGCTAATTATGAATCAGTTGGCTATGTTATGAGTGGAAGCAGGTGAGCGGATAGCTTCCTCAAAGTGAGTACTAGTACTGCTCTGCAATATAATATGACTAATGTATTTCCTTGGTTTGCAGGCACCGGAGAATGGAGGCTGTTCGAATTCGTAAGGAGAACCAAATTTATTCTGCTGATGAAAAGAGAGCCCTTGCTATGTTCAGCAAAGAAGAACGGCAGAAGAGAGAAAACCGTATCCTGTCTCAGTTTAGAGAAATGGTTACCAGTAAGCTGGAGAAGAAGTCTTAAAAATGTCTTACTATTGTATAAAAGTATTTCTTTGAATAATGTCATAACTTAATCAACCAAGTGTAAATCAAGTGTAAATATTAAGGGAATTGTGTATTGTAGAATTTTCCTGTGATAAAGTCTTTGAAAACTGGGCTCTCTACCCATTTCTCCAATGTTCTCCTCAGAGGGAAGGCCAGCTGTAGTACAATCTGAGTGTCAGTGTCAGTTACTTCCAGCCACCAGGCTCATCTAAAAAAATTTGTTAGAGTTTGTCAGATAAATGTTTCCCCATCACTAGTTAACTGTAAGTATCTTTGTAAGTAACATTGTGACTAAACATTGTAATTGAATGCCTTAAGTTTCTCAAAATTCTCCAAATCCCACACACAATACATTTAAATTGAAGTGAAAAGATTAAGGAAAGGGAATGAAAACTCAAGTGATAATAGTTAAATTTTAATCCTTCTTATGCCACAAACTCGTATGGGATAGGTGCAAGCTGGATGAGCTCCTGTCCCTTGACAATGTGACGGGGCCTGGGTCCCTGGGGCTGAAAGCGAACAAGAATTTTTTGTTAGTTTCATGTTGAAAAACACAATGAACCACAACAAAACGAGACTAAGGACAGTCAAATGCTCACCTGCCTCTTGATGATAGCAACTTTACCAGTCTCCCGAGCTTCCTTCCTCAGCCGCTCGTTCTCCTTAACACGTCGGAGGAAATCCTCTCTGCACTTGGAGTGGGTTACGTGTTCTATTCTGATGTTAATTCTGAAATCAAAGTGATGACATTTAAACAAGATGTCCAATGGAAATAGAAAAGACCAAGCCAGACGGGCAGACCAACAACTTACCTCTTAGGGAGGATCTTTCCGCGGACTCTCTTGTTGACAATGACACCAAGTGCGTGTTTGGTGACGTTGAAAACTCTGCCAGTGCGGCCATGGTAAGATTTGTGGGGCAGACCCTTCTGGATCGCACCGTTACCCTACAAAAACAATAAGAATGAGCAAACAGAAACAACATAAACTCAGTCAGAAAGAAGCATACAGCACAGCCTTACCTTGATATCAACAATATCTCCAATCTTGTAAACCTTCATATACGTCGACAGGGGAATGGTTCCCTTGGTCCGGAACCTCCTCGAGAAGAGGTCGCGGGTTCCCCGCCGGTAACCTTTGGGATTCGTCATGGTGCTGCAAAAAGACGACAAAACATTGATATAACGTTCGATATTCCAGCAAATAAATTTAAAGAACAGACGAAGCCTCGTCGGAAACGATACAGGGCGTCTAAGCTTCAACCGCACAACGCAAAATAGAGAACGGGCGAAGGAAAACCCGAACGACTCTCTCGGAGCAAAGTATGGATCTGACTAGAGCCGACTGGACCAGAGCCACATCTAATGAGAGGTTAGGTCCAGGGGCCATACAACTGTCCCTAGCAGCGACGTCAAAGGGGCACCCAGAAGCCAGGTAAAATCGTGAATAACACGGAGATAATCGGGACAGGCCAAGATCGCCGCTGAAAAAACCTGACGGGTTTTCAGAAACACAATACGCTCACACGTGGCCGCGGACGTCGGCGAGACACGAGCGGACGCCGAACACGGACGCGTAGTGAGAAAACGTCAAGCACACCTTTCCCACCGAAATTACGTGCACTTACAAACGGCCTACGACGCGACTTAAACTGAGAACAGATCAAAAAGCTGTTCGGAGACTGCTCGAGAAATTATTTTAAAGTTTCGACTGAAAGATACGCACCCTGCGAACACACAACAGCGCCGATGGAGGAAGAATGAAAGAAGAAAAGAACGGACGAAAGGAATTTCCGGTTTGTTTCGGTTAGGTATGAGAAATTACTAGAGAAACTAAGATGAGAAATAACGCGAGCGGATTCAAGTGGAGGACAGGGGAAAGGAGGGGTGGGTGCGCGGTGAGAGTGAAAGGAAAAGACGCGAAAGGAACTCCTGAGATTAGGCATCCCGGCTTACACTCCTCGAAACGTCCTATGTAGTCTCTCACTCAAATCTTTGAGAAAATTAGAACTTTTGGGGAACCGTCTGGTCTCTCTACAACGCAATTTATCGATTTGCTTGAAGGGTTATGCGCGTCCCCAACACCAAGCAAGTGTTGGTTCTGAGCAGGGTTGCCAGATTAGGCTAGAAACCGCCACTTAGGCTATTTTTTGGTCTCAGTCGGCGGGTCGAAATTCCGATTTCCGGGAAATCGCAAATTAGGCTATAAATGATACAAATTTGGGCGGTTTTGATTCCTGGTGATCGAAATGGTCTTTTTTGGTTGTTTCGGCTTGTTTCGGGTCCAAGTCGAGAGCACCAATACCTCGCCGCCGAGGTAGTTTGACCGCACCGTATTATTTCCAGGGTTTGAAGACGAAAACTTTGGGGTTAGGGCCTAATTCATTGTTTTGTATTGTCACGGAACAAATAAAGACTGAAACATTAAAATCGGATTTTATATTATTTGTCCCGCGAATTTAGGCGGGATGGTGCTTTCATTAGGCGGTTTTAGGCTATTTTGAAAGGTGGCGGGAAGCGGCGGGTCGAGCGCGCTCTGGTGGCGGGACAGTGCACTTGGGGTCTGGCAACACTGGTTCTGAGTGGTCGGCCCCGCATCTTTCATTCACAGCTGCCGCAGCAGTAGCAAGGGTTGCTTTCGGCGGGCAGTAAGTTGAAGGTGGGTACCTTTTAGCTGGTGCCTCCAAGTCTTTCCACTCTTGTTGCAACCTTAGGGTTCGAGTGAAACTTCGTGGGGTGATTTCACCGATTTCTACCGCCGCTCCAGTTCCATGTTAAAATGGTTTATAACCTGGTCACCTTTTTTTACTGTTGAAAAATGATTTCAGCTTTAACCATTATGAAGAGGTCACTCTTGTCTTTCCCAAATTTATTTAATTTTCCTGTTGACTTTCACACACATCTTAAGTCCAATGGTGGACTACAGAACTTACAGTGACTTTGTCCCTCAATTTGACATTGTGAAAGATGAAACTTATTTGGATTCAATTTGTGATGCATTTGCTGATAATTTGTTTTCTTATCCCCTTATAACAGAGTTCTCTCATATTGTGTGCAATGTTACTGGTTACAACACTCAGAGCTGGTCAAAACTCAGCCGACAGCTGTTGCATTGCATTGTAAATTTAGTTTTTGCATTTTTCAATTTTCCTGTAAAACTGTGTTTCCGTCATCTTTTATCCCTACATCTGTGCTAGGAAAAAAAATTGTTTTTTCTTTTTTTTTTCAAATTAAAAATCCTCAGTGTTTTCCTGTGTCTTATATAGTTTTACGCTTGGTTCCAGGTTCAAGGCTTTGTTAGTTACCATTCGTTATTCAAGATGGCCAAACAGTGGATGGGTTTCACAATATCTATCGATTGTGGTCCTATGGGCAAGTTTCAAGGTGTTGTGACAGCTGTGGAAGCAGAGCCCCAAAGCGTAACTTTAAGCAGAGTTTTCCACAATGGAATACCTCATACTTCACCGTCCATTGTTATCAGGTAAATGCTTAAAACCTATCTTATGATTGTGTTACTTTGACTTCATAAAAATTTTGAAAGGTGGTTCATATAATTCTTATTTTGTTAACAGTGCACATGACATCAAAGATCTCACAATAATTGCTGCACCCCAAGCTCAAATTGATCCCATAGTGAAGCTTAAGAAACCTATCCCCACTCGTCCTGAGCGTAATGTGAACGAAGGGGTACAGAACTTCCATTCACAGCCAGCTCCTCCTAGAGCGTTACATCTGGCTGGCTCTGATTTTGATACGCAGAAGGCAGCTGCTCTATTAGGTTGTGAGCAAGGAGCCCATCAATCAAAAAGCCAAGCTCTTCCCAAAATTGGCAATGGTCTGCCTTTGGAGCTAAATGGTCTACAAGCAGCACTCTACGACGCATTGAAAGTTAGCAACAGCAATCAGGTTGTCTCATCTGCCGCAGCTCCTGCTTCTCTACATACCGCAGTTAAGTTGAGTGCTGCACAAACTGTGTCTCAGCGAGCTCTACAATTGGGCAGACAGCAATCTGCTCAAGCTGCTAGAGAAACACAAACTATGGCCGCACCTCATGGAGGGTTCAAAATGACTGCAGCACTGAGCTCGAACGGACCAGCTTCTCCCCAGAAAGCAGGGCTGTTACATTTCAACCAAGCTCCTTCTGTAGGGTCAGGAAGCATGAAGCTAGGTGCTCAAGCACCCTTCCAAGCTGAGAGCCCAATTTCTCCTCAGAAGGCCAGGCCATTAAATGAATCGCAAGTAGCTCTTTCTTTTGGTTCTGGATCTGGTGCTCAGGCATTGAAGGCACCTAAACCATCTCAAACTTCCTCTCTCAAGAACCTACTGCTGAATGCTACAGAAGCACATTCATTAGGCTCAGCCACTCAAGCTCTTTTACGGGGAAACCAAACTCAAATGTTGTCCCAAGGCGCTGTCGCTCTCCCTAGATCTCAAGGATCTCCCCAGAAGAATGCTCATAAATATCAGCAACAGGGATTTCAAGCTGCTCTCAATTCATTGCAAGTGAATACAGATGGATATGCTTCTGGCTCGGGTATGTCAAGTTCATTGTCATTAGTATTTTCAGCTGAAACAACTAAATTTTGCTTTCTTTTATTGTTATTAACATTCTAAGTATTTTCAGGTGATGGTAACCGCACTCCGAATAAGAGGGACAGACTGCGTCAGCGGTGGCAGGCGCGGGATGAGGCTTGCTTTGGATCTCCTGCTAATGATCAAGAGTTTGATGAAGAATTTGATTTTGAGAAGAATCTGGCATTATTTGACAAACAAGTAATTTGCTGTTTGAGAATTTTCATCAATAAGCCCCTAGCATTCTCTTGGATTTAATTTTTCTGTTCTATGTCTTGTTTTACTAGGCAGTTTATGATGAGATTGCTGTTCAAAGACCTGATCTCGTGCAACCTGCAAATGATCAGAGGAGGCAACAGAACTACAGGCATGATCAAAATATCTTAGTAAACAATCGAAGAATTCCTTCCATCATTGTTCCTAACCCGGGTTCAGCTGAATATGTAACAGGTTAGATTTTCTCATTATTTGTCTTAAACATTCATAAAGTTTAGGATTTTAACTAATGTAGCCTCAGATTGTCATTGTTTTGAGTTGGCTTTGTTGTGTATTTCAGATGAAGGCCTCATTATTCCAAGTATGAGACCAGAACTACTGAGGCAACTGCATCAGAAAGCGCACGATGTTGGATTTACATTTGACCGACAGTCTGAAGTCTTTGCCAGGTGTGCCACAGAAATGTCCCTTCAGTTGTTAGGTGGCGCTCACAGGTAGGTATTTCCACTATGGTCGATGCTAGCTGCGTTTCAGTGACTTGATAAAAATGTGCTCTGTTGCTGGTTTGGTTGACAGGCTGAACCCTCACAACTCCCACCAATGGCCCACTGTCATTGTGATGGTCGGCCCACACAGCCAGGGCGCTGCGGGAGTCATGTGTGCCCGGCAGTTGGAATGTCAAGGAGTGAGCACGGTGACTCTAGTGGTGAACGAGGCTGCTGCACCCCCACTCATGAAGCGAGAGCTCAACTTCTACAAGTGTGGTGGTGCCCCCATTGTCAACAACACTGATCGTAAGCTAGGAGATACTTGTGTGGTTTTAAACTACTTGTTTTAGCTCTCTTGTTGATTTACTTGCATTTATTTTCAGAACTGCCAGACACTGTGGATTTAGTTATCATGGCTCTAGCTGGGCATTTGCCAACGGACGTGTCCAACTCCTTGGAATACGGAAAGGCAGCCTCCTGGGCCTGTAACAAGCGAGCCCCAGTTCTGGCACTTGATCCTCCTCCTGTTGGAACTCCGGGCATCATCACGAAATTCGCTCTAGCACCAACACTCCCTGTGACATATTCTCCACAAAATGGTAAAGTGTATCTCTGCAATCTGGGTGTCCCGATTGTTGTTTTTAAGGAAATGGGTATCAGGTATCGTTCTCCATTTGGCTCCAAATTTGTCATCCCATTGCATCCAAACGACGAGTAATTTAAAAACTATCTTGTTTTTCGATTAATTTCTGCATCATAGGCTGTAATATGGATTGTAGCCACCAAACCAGCATCATTTGTGTAATGAAACCTGACTTCTCAGGTAATTGATTTAACTTATTCAGCACGTCATACAAACAACCTTGACTATGTCTTATTTGTTAATTAATTTTTTATTCATATGTTATTGTACACAATGGCTTCATCTAGTCATATTTTTTTCCTTACTAAGAGACTGTTAATATGAATTTTGAAATCATAAGAATGGAACCTTGCACCTGCTTAAATGTGAGTTGATAACCTTCCCTTTCTTTTTGAAAGCAGTTTTCTCCCATTTGTTTCCCCTTTCCCTCCTATTTTACTTCATGTGATATTGGATTAGGTGTTAAAGTTCATCTAATACATTACTGACTTAGTGCAATGAGCAGACCTGTAATAGAAACCTAGTATATTTGTATATTTGAAACAATTATATTTTATCCAGGAAATTTAATTTAGTGTGTTCTTTGGTAATGTTTTGGAACTATGATTTCCTATAAAAGTGCAATATGGATTGATAAAATCTCTGAATATTTATATCTGTGAATATTTATTTAGTATAGGTGTAGGTAATAGGCTAGTGATCCTTGGCCAAATTAAGTTCAATCATCTCTTAATTTTTAAATGATTTTTCTGAAATTTTTAAAAACCTTTTTCTTTGCCTGTTTTTCATTTATTATTTTTTTTCATGTCTAATTTATCAAATACTGTACTGCAAGTACTTGTGCCTTTCAAAATGTTGATGTAGCCTGTAAAATTTAAGAACTTGACAGAATAGCACTGCTGTGGTTGCTCTTATTTTATTACTTGCCTGTATTTTTCATGCTGTTTGTGAAATGTGTTGTTACTCGGTATTTCCAGCTGTGTAGACATTGAGAAGACAGGAAATGCTATTGCTACATGTCTAATGTGAATTGGTTGTGGATGTACATACAGATGTTGAATTGGTTTAAGCACTTTTTGAAAGGTGGTGCAAGCAAGAATAATACCCACTTACATTAAATCACTTGGTCAATAGTCTAAGATATTTCAATAAGTGTCATTCATCTATTTGGATGTAGCAATAGACTGCCTTCTTGATTCTTGAGGCATTGAATCTGCGTTACGAACTCATATTGCGCGTTAGAAGAAAAATGAACAATAATAAAATAAAACAACTGGTGGAAATGGATGATTTATTTTGTTCCTCCTTGGACCGTGTGACATCCTAGTAGTCCGATGGCCTGTAGTTGCCACACCTGGGGAAGCCCGCGGGGGGCCGCGGCAGGTACCTGCTCTCCCCGACTTGGATCACGGCCTCCATGCCGCTGATCATGTGGTATTGGAAGTGGCAGTGGAAGAACCAATCACCTGTCAAAGAAACGGACACATTATTTCCAACTGCACCGAAGTGTGAATGCTGGTGGTTCCAGTCCGCACCAGCCACCGACCTCTGTTGTCCGCGTGGAACCGGATCCAGATCCAGCCGCCGCCGGGCAGGGCCATGGCGTCCTTGATGGCGGGGGAGGCCACGAAGGTGGGCAGCAGCTCGCGGTCGTAGAGGTCCCGGACCATGGCGGCGCGCTCCTTGCCGTCCAGCACGTCCCTCAGGGTCCCCATGCCCATGAACGAGGAGGAATAGCCGTGGAGGTGCATCGGGTGGGCCAGCAACGTCGTCGTGTTGTCACCGGGATTCACTGAAAGTCCCAGGTCGCGGGTTCAACTCACGCCAGGGTCGGCTGAGACCGAACAGTGTCACTCTGTCTCTCCCGCGCTCGTGGTACGCCTTGGGTGACAGAGCGGTGGCACTCACGGTCCGTCTCGTCCACGACGATGAGGTCGATGTCCTGGCCGTAGGGCACCTCGACGAGGTGCGAGCATGAGCAGCTCTGCTTGCCCCTGCAGTGCCTGGGGATGTAGCCCTCGCTGCAGAACGCCGCCTGGCCGGGCTGCGTGAGGAAGGGCGAGGAGGGCTCCACGTACGCGATGTCGTTGAGCACGCCGGTCAGGGTCACGGGGCCGAACGCTGCGGATGTCGCTCAGTGGATTTGCCAGGCGGTCAAAACTCGAACTGAACGTGTGACCCCACCAATGGATTCGTCGTTCGGAGAGCAATCCATTGGTGGGGTCACAAGTTCGGTTCTAGTCTTGTTAAGCGACTCAGGAGCTCAAAAGGCGTCTGGAGTTTTGGCCGCCTCCACCGGCCTTCTGGCCCAGTGTGTGTGGGGGTGCGAGAGAGACGGTGTCGAAGCGCTGCTCTGGCTAAGAAACCAGGTGACTTTCGGCCTTACCCAGGAACCTGTCGTAGTTGCCCCGACTGAACTGCGTCTCTGGCGGCTCGACCACGAAGCCGAGCCTGAAGAAGACGAGGTGGTCGGCGCGGCTGCAGCCGTAGCGCACGTCGGTGCAGTAGGGCGCCCACTCCAGCGCCTCCAGCTCCGCGGCGCACACGTTGGACTCGGACTCGCAGTCGCCGGGGGTGTTCACCACCTGCGGAGCCACCAGCCATGCACTGTCTCTCTCGCACCCGCACGGGACGCCCCACGAGTGCGAGAGAGACGCGGCGTCTCACCGTTCCCGTGGGCAGTTGGCGGCCGAGACGGATCCCCGGCGGCGCGGTCGGCGGCGTCCTGGGCGCGGCCACGCCGGAGCTCTGGTAGGCCAGCACGGCGCGCTGCTCGGTGCCGCCGCGGTTCTGGCAGAAGCCCACGGTGCGGGCGTAGATCCAGAAGGCCCTGACCGTCGGCCTCCTCTGGGCGTGGATCACCACGTCGTACCGCTCACCTGGAAAGCGTCACGCGCGTCAAGCGACCTCTGTCTCTCTCGCACTCATGGGGCGTCCCGCACCCTACCCGACAAGGTGATGAGCGACTGGGCGCGCCGCGGCTTGATGTCCCAGCCGTCGGACGCGATGACGGTCATGTTGTGGCCCTCGAACTGCAGCTGGATCGGGCAGCTCAGGGAGCCGGCGTTGATGATGCGGAAGCGGTAGCGCTTGCCCGGCTGGATCTCGAACCTCGCCATCGGGGTGAGCGTCGTCCTGTTGCTCACCGCGCTCTGCGAGGAACAAGTCACTAGGCTCTCGTCGTTGTCGCTCTGTCTCTCTCGCACCTTTACGGGACGTGAGTGTGAGAGACACCTTACCGTGGCCGTGCCCTGGCCGTTGATGAGCAGGCTGTCGGAGGGCTGGCCGGTGAGCCTGGTGGCCAGCCCGGGCAGCACGAACTCGGCGTCCACGTGCATCCAGTCCTGCAGGAAGATGACGTGCTCGGGCAGGTCGTAGTCGTACAGCTCGGCGTGCGGCGGCTCGTACTCCTTGATGATGAGCGGGCCGGAGATGCCGTTCACCTTGTGCACGCCTGTGGAGCAGGGTGTCCGTTCACTCTGTCTCTCTCGCACAGAGGGCTGGAAGAGCGGTGGAGGCGGCTAAAATTCTAGACGCGTTTTGAGCTCCAGAGTCGCTAAACAGGGCTCGAACCGAACGTGTGACCCCACCGATGGATTGCTCTCCGAACGAGGAATCTATTGGTGGGGTCACACGCTCGGTTCGAGTCCTGTTCAGCGACTCTGGAGCTCAAAACGCGTCCAGAGTTTTGACCGCCGGTGCCGGTCTTCTGGCGAATACACTGTGCAGAGTCCGCGTGCTCCCTACCCGAGTGCGAGTGCCAGAAGTAGGTGCCGGCCGGCTCGGCCAGGAACTGGTATCGGAAGGTGGTGCCGAAGATGATGGGGCACTGGGTGACGTGCGACACGCCGTCGAACCAGGGCGACCAGGCCTGCGGCAGGCCGTGCCAGTGGATGGCCTCGGCGTGGCCCGGCAGCTCCACCGCCAGGTCCACGCGGATCACGTCGCCGCGGCACACCTGCGACAGCAGACGCTCTGTCACTCTGTCTCTCTCGCACTCACGGGGCGCACCGCAGGGCACCGCGCGAGTGCGAGAGAGACGGAGCCAACCACTCACGTGAATCCCCGGGCCGGGTAGCTGCCTGTTGACGGTGTAGACCGTCCTCTCGACGCCGTCAGCGAACACGCACTGCTCGCGGAAGCAGTCCTCCTCCACGCCTCGCGAGCAGTTGCCGCAAGCCCTGGGGCGAAGCAGAAGCAGGCGGAGCAGCGCATGAGCGAGTTGCCGCCCCTCGGCGGGTACTAACAGCAGACTGTTTCCGCGAGTCGTTTCCGTCGCTCTGTCTCTCTCGCACTCATGTGCCGTCCCGTGTAGGTGCGAGGGAGACAGAGCGACGAAAACGACTCTCGCGGACTGCTGTATGGCCGGGGGAGAGGGAAAAGACTCGTCGCCACCCCGCTTGAGAAGGTACTTCTTACCCCGTCAGCACGGAGTAGATCTCCTCGGTGAAGACGTAATAGCAGAGCCGCGGCTCGGGGTCCTCGGTGCAGTCCCGGTAGCACGGCCCTGGAGCAGCGAACACCAAGACGCCCTTTAGTTCTCCGCCCTTCAGCCCTCTCGGCAGTCTCGGCCCTGCCTGCCCTCTTCCAGAACTTCCTCCGGCGCGGAGGGAGAGCGAGTGCTTTGGAGCTTACCCAGGTCGGTCCTCCACTTCTGGGCCTGGGCGTGCTGCAGCACGAGGGCGAAGAGCGCCAGCAGCGTGGCGAAGGTGGCGGCGAAGGCCATGCTGTACAGCGGGCTCTACCGAGGTCTGCCGAGGTGCACCCGCAGCAGCGTGCCTGCGAGTGTCTCGGTCAGCGTGTCTCTGAGTCCTCTGAGTCTCTAGAGCGACACCGACACCAACGTGATGGTAAAAGGGTTCAGTTTGTTGTTCGGCTAGGCAGCCCACGCACAGCATAGGCTGATTCCGAGACTCGCTTTCGCCGCTCTGTCTCTCTCGCACCTACACGGGGCGCCCCATGAGTGCGAGAGAGACAGAGCGACGACTCTCGGAATCAGTCTGCTGGCTTGGCGGCTTGGCCAGATTCGGCACGTCGCCGCATTTTCCTCGGTGTCGAGCTCCTCTTCCTATCGTGGGCCCGTGGCCGCACCGCTCGGTTCCACGTTAAAATGACTTCATTCCCGACATGTTTGCGACGGGTTTTCAAAATACGTACGTGCTTTCTCCTGGGGCGTACGGCTCGGACGGAATTCCTACAGGGAAGGGAAAGGGAAAGGGGGAAGGCCCACCGTTCAAACTTCGCGCTGGAGAAAATGACGAAACGATCTATCGAAATGGAGGGAGACACTTCGATTCGAGTTCGATGATGGCGGCGGCAGCGCCAGCTGACTGACAGCGACAGACAACCGGCCAATGTTGTTTTCGTCTGGATCGCCTGTTTGACTTTGAACCCTGCACTTGTCGTGTTAAAATCCGCACTCAACGGTCTGTTCGTCCACGCGTCGGTCATCTAGACCTACACTTTGATTCGGCGGGTTGTTGTAACCTCCTCTGAGAACTATTGCAGGAAACTTGATCCCAGCACCCATTCAAAAATGTAATTTGTGCCTCAAGATCAGCTTCTTTCAAGTCAAAGTGGACATATTTTATTACATCATGTTTAATGCTTGTTACAGGACACTTGCCGGCAGAACTTTGTTCATTACTGGGGCTACTAGAGGGATTGGCAAAGCCATCGGTCTGCGTGCTGCCAAGGACGGTGCAAATGTTGTTATTGCTGCGAAATCTGCTAAACCTCATCCCAAGCTTCCGGGCACTATCTACACGGCAGCCGAAGAGAGTAAGTTCTGAATGTATCTATTCGTTTCATATGTCGAAGAGAGCACCACAGTCTAATGCACAACTTAATCCATTTTACAGTTGAGGCTGCCGGTGGCAAGTGCCTCCCTTGCGTTGTCGATGTACGAGAAGAGCAGCAGGTGCAAGATGCGGTTAACGCAGCTGTCAAGCAATTTGGCGGTATCGACATTGTAGTGAACAACGCTAGTGCCATATCCCTCACAGACACTTTGGCAACAGACATGAAAAGATACGATTTGATGCAGAGTATAAACGCCAGGGGCACTTTCCTTGTGTAAGCACTGATACATATTCCAGACATGATTTTATTTTCATGCTCGGAATCGAGACTTATTCCTTACTTCTGCCTTGCAGGTCTAAACTCTGCTTGCCTCACCTCAAGAAGAGTCCCAACCCTCACATTCTTAATCTTAGTCCGCCTCTAAACATGTCAAAGCACTGGTTCCGTCCCCATGTTGCTTATACAATCGCAAAGTATGGCATGTCAATGTGCGCCCTTGGCATGGCTGAAGAGTTTGCCCCTGATGGAATTGCTGTCAACACCCTTTGGCCAAAGACAGGTTTGTACAAAATTTCTACCTTCAAGCTGAAATTTTCACAGATTTCATGCAACAGGATTTTAATGAGGGATCTTTTTCTTCTAGTTATTTTTACCGCTGCCATTGAGATGCTCACTGGGTCCGAATCTGCTCGATTTGCTCGTAAACCTGACATTGTATCAGATGCCGCTTACTTCATTCTCACCAAGCCCTCTCGGTCCTGCACTGGCAATTTCTTTGTCGATGAGGAGGTTGTCAAGGCAGAAGGCATCAAAGATCTGACCCATTACGCTTGTGACCCAAGTAAGTGGCTTCTTTCCATTCTCAGGTATCTCTCTTTCGTTCCTTTAAAATTCGATTGGATTCATGATTTTCTGGTATGTTGTAGGTAATGCACATGGGCTCATGCCGGACCCTTTCCTCGATGAGTTCCCTGTGGCTGATTCTGGTAGCCAAACAGTGGAGGAAGGAAATGCTGCCATCAACAAAGTATTTACAGCAATTCAGAACAATATCAGCCCTGCATATGTCCAAAATGTTCAATCTGTGTATTTGTTCAAAATTAAAGGTACAAAATTTTCCCCATTACTGGAAGTATTTTTGTCAGTTTACAGGCAGGTTCAGCAATGTAAAATGGTTCCCTATCTGGTTTCTTTTATCAGGTGTTGAAGACGGTCTGTGGTACCTGGATTTGAAGAATGGCAATGGGTCTTGTGGCAAAGGAAAACCAGAAGGCAAGGCAGACTGCACTATTTCTATGGATTACAAGAGTCTGCTTGATTTGGTGTCAGGTTGGTTCTCTCTTAAAATTTTCTTAACAGTTTTTAAATTTTACATTTGATAAACAGCAGGCATCTTAATTCCTGCTTCTTCTCTTTCTTTCTGTGAATAGGCAAATGGAAGCCATCTGCAGCTTTCATGACAGGAAAAGTTGCTGGGGATCTGCAAGCTGCGATGAAGCTGGAAAAATTTGTTGAATCATTGAAGAACTGAAGATTTTTTTATTTGCTCATTGTTTTAAGGAAAAAAAGAGGCTATCAAAACTGATAGACTACTCTCTTGCCAAATAGACAAAACAAATGTGTGTATAAAGTCATTCATTTTTTTTTTTGTGTACTGAAATGGCTCAACTATCTGTGATCATTTCTATACTGTTTTTGATATCTGAGCCTTTAAAGTGCTACCCTATTTTTTAGTTTCTTTACTTACAATTTTTTTCCTATTACAATACATTTTAAATAATTGAGCATCTTGCTTCGTTTTATGAACTGTATACATATCAGAGCAGTATTTTTATCTAGTATTTTTGCTATGATTGTTCTTTTATGACCAGATTTTATCCTTGTGTAGGTCTACCCCTTGCATGTTATACTGTGCCCCTAATTTTGTACATCACGCTTCTGTAATCAGGACAATAAATTTGTTTTTATTTTGATGTTAACATTTTTCTGTTTTTATTTGACCTTGACAGGATTCTTGGTACAAGGTTACACAGAGGAAATAAAATAAATCAAAAAATCAATTGTACATGCCTGATTGTTTTTGGGCCATTTTATTTGATGTCAAACAAGACTTGGGTTACACTGCTAGCTGAGAACTGCATACACGATACACGCGCCCGTTTGAGTGACAGAACGAGGAATCCATTGGTGGGCTCACATGCTCGGCTCGAGTCCCGTTTGGCGACTCTGGAGCTCAAAACGCGTCTAGAATTTTGTCCGCCTCCTGGCCCACTGTATGCCCGTCCCTGACCCATCCAACCACGAATCTCAGAGAGTGACAGGGAGGGAGCGTGCGTCAACAACAACACTGCGGCCTAGGCCTAGGAGGTGGTGACCTCTGCCGGACTTTGGCCGGGCAGGTCATTCGGTCGCCGTACACGCGCTCTCCAGCGCCACTATCGGAATATCGGAGCACTTGACCGCCGCCGCAACCCGCGCCCAAGCTTGGCGCCGACAGCAAGGAATCTTCCCAGAACCGGCAATGTGTAGCGCGGACAAGCAAGTTTACGCGGCGTGGCCGGGCGTGGCGGCTTGGCGGCTTGGCGTGGCGGCGGGAGGTTGCCAGCAAGGTGGTCCCCCGCACCTTACCCTTGAGGCGATTTGGGCTCTCGGTGCGGCGCACGTGCCGTCCTGGCGGCTAGAGGCCTGCTTGGGGCCAGGCCGGGGCGGGCCGGGGCCGGGGGCGGGGCGGGGCGGGGGTGGGTCCGTGGCGGGAGAGGTGGGCAGCGGGGGGTTCGACATCTCCATAAGTAGGGCGATGATCCACGGACAAGGGGACACGCGGCGGGCGCGACATACACACACGAACACTCACAGACACCCACTCACACACACACTCGCACACATGTCATGATGCCGGCGGTGGCGGTGAAGCCAGTTTGTTTGCTATCTGTTTGGCCAGTCACTTGGTCCGCCTCGCACCGACCGGTCTCTCACTCGCGAGAACGACTCGCGGCCCGCAGCGCCACCACGACGGCCACCACGACGACGTGCTCCAGCAGGACTCCGCGCCGCCGTCCCCGCGCTCCCCGCCGAGGCCCTGCTGCTGCTGCCCTTGCTGTCCACCGCGAGGCGCCGCCCCAGGCCCTGAAGGCCCTCGCCCTGAACACCCTCGCCCTGCTGCCCAGGGCCAAAGTGGACCCGCGGCTCCCGGCGGCCCCGAGCACGGCGACGACGACGCTGGCGGTCGTCACCGAGATCACGCCCTTCTTGAAGATGCTGGCACTGGCTGCCTGCGTCAGCCGGGACAGATAACATTTGCTCAGGTAAGAGCAGCTTCCAGGTGTCTCCAGCGCGTGATACCTTCAAACCTAAACCATGAAAAGATTTACATGAGGACCCTTTAAGGTAGCAGCTAGTTTCCCTCAAAGTCGCTTTTCTTGAAATGAAATTTTATCTGAAAAGCCGGTTGGGTTGGGGCATGGTCCAGGCACATGCTCGAAAGACGGATAATAATAAACAGCCGGCCAGATAGCCGGCCAGATTTGGCAAGCGGCCAGCAGTTAGGCCTATCACTCCGTTTTCCTTTACGTAACACGGTCTCCACAATCCTCGGCTTGACGGACGAAAGAGCGTGCCTTCTCTCTCTCCCTCTCACGCACTCACGCGTTGGGCCTACACTAGCGAGCTCCCTGAATACACACCAATGGCGGAATCCATTTCGATCAACAGTGTAGTGTCCGTGTCAACAACCCGGGCCTTTTCACACGTGGTGCGAGCGAGACGGCGCGCGTTGCGAGAAGAACCTCAAATATGCGGCGACCGGCCATTGTTTGGGGCCTCCAGATATTGCATTACGGTGTCGGGCTGAGATATGCCGCTGAATATAGAGGGCGGACAAACAGACAGACAGGCAGACGGACGGACAGACTGACAGACAGCGTAGAGCGCCTGCGGGAAGGCGACCGCACCGGCACAGGCGTCGAATGGGTTGCCTACACTGTGGGGCGCGGTCAGCTGCGGCGGCGGCGGGCGTCGCGGCGCGGTGTCAAGCGTAGACGACGCCCGCCTCTCCGGACGCCGGCCGCGGCGGATGGCTGGACAGCCCGGTTTCGGCGGACGGACAGACAGGCGGACAGACAGACGGTGCTGAGTCGGTGGGGCAGATGTGCAGTGCAGCATGTGGCCCGTGCGAAGTGCGAGTCTAGCCGTGGTGCCGGCAGCAGCCTGCAGCGAGTCCATCGTGGTCCACCAACCACCATCACCACCACCATGGCCACCATGGCCAGGCGGGCGCAGCCTGGCTAGCGCGGCCAGCTCGGCCAGCGGGTGAGGAATCCAACTTTGGCGTCGCACCCACCTCTCGTCTGCCGTCTCGCTCGCCTGCATGACAGTGAAGCAGTCAAAGGCTTGCGACAGTGTTCCATCAGCTAGGAACGACCGACCGTTGACACTGTTGGACGGGGAAACGAACTATCGCGGCGGCCCGCTCTGTCCATTTTAAATCAAAGCCCCTGCTCGTCGGAATGGGTCGTTTGAAGGTCCCTCTTGGGGATAACCGTTTTCCTGGTTTGCAAATCTACCCGATTCGGCGGGGTTGAATCGCGGCCCCGACCGATCCCTCTTGTCTTTTCCTGGAGCTAATGCATTTCCTTCCTCTGCTCTCCCCACAGGCGCGAGCGGGTCTGCCTTTAGCCCGCGTCGCGGTTCCATTCATCAACTGTCCGGCTTGCTGTCCGGCTTGCTGTCCGGCTTGCTGTCCGGCTCGCTGTCCGGCTTGCTGTCCGGCTTGCTGTCCGGCTCGCTGTCCGGCTTGCTGTCCGGCTCGCTGTCCAGCTCGCTCTCCGGTTCACTGCCGAGTTTACTGCCCGGCTTGCTGTCCGGCTTGCTGTCCGGCTCGCTGTCCGGCTTGCTGTCCGGCTTGCTGTCCGGCTCGCTGTCCGGCTTGCTGTCCGGCTCGCTGTCCGGCTCGCTGTCGAGATGGCCGGCCTGAGGGACGCGCAGCTGGAGACGCAGCTGGAGAGGCAGCCCCTGATGAGGCCCTTGGGGAGGGGGTCGGCGCCCGGCTCGGAGTGGACGCAGCACCTCGCCGCCATCCTGGGTAAGCACAAGCACGGCGTCGCCATGGCGTCGCCCAACACCACCTCGTCCTACGCGGTCTCGGACCGGCCAGCACGCTGTCGGATCTGCGTCAGCGCTTATGCAACGCACTTGGCCTCCCGACAAGGTCGCCGCCGGCAGCGCCGCGAGGCCCGGTTAGCCTAGCGGGGAGCGCGCTCGCGTCCGGCGCCGCGGGTCGCCGGTTCAAATCCCCGCGTTTCATCTCGGCCGACTGCGCCGTGGTCGGCGACTTCTCGTCACTCTGCCGAGGCGGCCGAGGCGGCCGGGCCGTCCGGGCCGTCCGGGGCGACACCGGCAAGAAAACAGTAATTGGTGCCGGGACAAAGGCGTCCCGGAGCACTGCGGGGCACCCTGACCTTCCCTCGGACTCGCCAATAAGGCGCAATTTGGAGTCGCGGCCCTCTGGCCCACTTCATCCCCCTCCCCTCCCCCGCTCCCCTTCCCCACCCCCTCCCCCCCGCCCCTTTCCAGTCATTTCACTAATTGCCCCATCCTTTGAAGTAAACTCGCTGCTGTCAGCTTATCCCCTTGTCCTTCGCGCGCGAAGAGCCGTGACGCGGCTCGGCACGGCGTGGCACCGCACGGCACGGCACGGCACGGCACGGCACGGCACGCCACGGCACGATCCGCCTTGACAGCGATGAGTTAGTTGTTGATTACTCCGGTACGTATCCCCTTTGAGTTTTAACTCACTTTATTGGCCGTTATTAGGCGACTCGCGCGCCAGCCCCTTGTGCTTCTTACAGTGGTGGTCCTTGTCCGCCCCCGCCGGCCCCCTCGGCCCCCTCCCCTCGCGGGTCGAATTTCCGACCTGGAAAGGCCTGGTCCCGCGCCGGTCAGTGGGCCAGTCTTCTGGCCCACTGTGCGCCGTTCAGTGGGCGCAGCGCGAGGCGCGAGTCCCGGCGTGTTCGCTGTTTCCGTCTTTTGAAAGCGCCTTTCGCGCGCCAGCCACGCCTTATTCGCACTCGACGCAAATGGGACTTGGCCCCCGTAGGGATAAGCAGCGGCCGCCGCCGTTAAAACCTTCCAGGGATCTCGGATTTCGGATCCGGCGCTCCGGCCGGCATCACGTGGGGCAGCGCAGCGAGCGCAGCCCGCGCAGCCCGCGCCACATCAAAAGCGAAACGCTTTCGGAATTCGCGCCCTTTCGAGGCGATCGACCCGTGAAGCTCGAAGCGCGCCGTTCGAGAGTTCAAGTGCAGCGGCATGCGAACCGCCCGGGGTGAACTACCACACGGACGCAAGGGTGCCGCCAGCAGATTCCGAAGAGCGCTCTCTGTCTCTCTCACAGTGTCGCGGCAAGTCGCGGCGGTGCGAGAGAGACGGATGAATGTGCCTCGTTGGCGCAGACTGATTGGCAATCACGGTGTCTCGTCCTCGCGGCAAGGGCCGCCGTTTATTCTCCGCACCCGCTCGCGGACGGCCCCCCGTCTCGCCTCCGATGCACGCCCGGGATGTAACCTAGGCCAACCTGAAGTTAGTCGCCCCTCCTCGTCGCCGGAGCACTGACCGCCCCAAAGCAACCCGACTTGGCGGCGGATCGACGCGGTTTAGTCCGGGCAGCTCCCCGCGCGGCCGAAAAACGCAAAACGCACGCGCAAAGTCGGGCGGACGACCGCAGCATACTGCTAGCACTACTTGGAGAGGGCGGTGCCCCCCCCCCCCCCCCCCCCGGGACGCGCGGCCCCAATGGCTGGGCCGGACCGACCGAACCAGCAGGCCGACGAGAGTCTCGCTCTGTCTCTCTCGCACTCACGCGGCGTCCCGTGTAGGTGCGAGAGAGACAGAGCGACGGGACGACCCTTCGGGATCGGGCGGCAGACCGAACGACCGCAGCCGCGGCATCACGCTAAATTGGCGCTGACCATACCGTCGCCGTCCCCATTCCCCCTCCCCCCTTCCTCCTCCCCCTCCTCCTTCCCCTCCGCCGCCCTACGCATAATTACTTGGGGCGATATTGGCAAGCGCCAAACCCCATCCGGCGGCTCAACTATCAGACTCCCCCTTACATGGCTGCGGCCGGCGCGGCGCCCCCGTCGAAGCCCAGGCCAGCCAGTCCAGGCTGCTGCATCTTAGCCGTGCAGACTGATTCCAAGAATCGTTTTCGTCGCTCCCTCTCTACCTCCCTCCCTCCCTCTCTCTCTCCCTCTCTCTCTCCCTCCGTCTCCCTCCCTGTCCCTGTCCCTCACTCTCACTTTCACTTTCACTCTCACTTTCACTCTCACTTTCACTCGCATTCTCACTCACCATCACTCACCCTTACCCTCCCCTCACACCCACCCTCACCCCAACCTGACCCCCATCCTCACCCCAACCTGACCCCCACCCTCACCCCCACCCTCACCTCTACAGGACGTCGCATGAGTGCGAGAGAGACAGAGCGGCGAAGACGGCTCCGAATCAGTCTGCTGGATAGAAGTCGGACGCGGTGCAGTGGCACACTGCAACCTCGCGGCGCGGCGATGCTTCCCGCGGCTTCCCTCGTTTTGGTGCCGTCCTTCCTGTTTTTCGGACCCTGTTTTTTCTTCTTCTCGCGTGCGTCGACGGGCGAGCGCGATTGCGCGCGCGGCCCGGGAGGTTTAATGGCTTTTTGAAATCGACACGTGCAACTGAAGGGCTGACAACCGGGGGGGCCACGCCCCGCCGCTTGAATGCCAGAGAGAGAGAGAGAGAGAGAGAGAGAGAGAGAGAGAGAGAGAGAGAGAGAGAGAGAGAGAGAGAGAGAGAGAGAGAGAGAGAGAGAGAGAGAGAGAGAGAGAGAGAGAGAGAGAGAGCAGCAAACAAAACAACAAAAAAGGGGTCACGTTTTTCGCTCCTTTCCTCTCCAGGCACGCTGCTGTCCGTGTCGGCCGGCACGGTGCTGGGCTGGACGTCGCCCGCGCTGCCGCTGCTGGGGCTGCCGGAGGAGCAGCAGGCGTGGGTCGGCTCGCTGGCGCCGCTGGGCGCACTGCTGGGCGCCCTGCCGGCCGGGCTGCTGGCGGAGCGCGTGGGTCGCCGTCGCCTCCTCATCGGCCTCGGCCTGCCCTACCTCGCCGGCTTCCTCATGCTGGCCTTCGCCGACGCCAGCACCGTAAGTACTCGACCTGGGGGTAGAAGAGCGGTGAAGCCGGTCAAAGTCGCGGACGCGTTTTGGCCTCCAGAGTCGTTGAATGGGGCTCGAGCCGAACGCGTGACCCCACCAATGGTGGCCCCCTGTGGCCCACTGTGCACTCGCGGGGGCTGCCTGGGGGCTGCCAGGGCGGTTTAGACTGACACGCATGCATGCAGACAGACAGACAGACAGACAGACAGACAGACAGACACACGGACAGAGAGACACACACACACGCATGCACGCACGCGCGGCGACCACGGACAGCGAGAGGCACCCGTTTGAGCGCGGCCGTGGTGGCGCGACCCGGTCGGCCCGGTCAGCCCGGCCGCAGAGACGGGTCATGCTTTATTCCCACAAACACGAATTCACAGTGGCCGCACAGCGCACAGCGCGTGGGGGAGGAGAGTGAGGCCGTATCACGCTAGCCAGTCTATCTAATCATGCATGGGTCCATTAACCCCAAATAACATAAAAGATAACGGAACCGGAATTGAACCCGCGGCGCTCGGTTCCAGGTGTGGCTGGTGTACGCGGGCCGCCTGACGTGCGGCGTGTCCATGGGCGCGAGCACACTGGTGCTGCCGCTGTACTGCGACGAGGTGGCCGAGGACCGCATCCGCGGCGCGCTCGGCGTCTACCTGGACCTCAACATGACGGTCGGCATCCTGCTGGTGTACGTCCTCGGCGCCTACCTGTCCGTCATGTGGATGTCCCTGGCGTGCGCCGGCGTGCCGCTGCTGTTCCTCGTCACCTTCCCCTTCATGCCCGAGTCGCCGGTGCACCTGCTCGCCAAGGGCCGCCACAGGTGAGTCCCGGGGGTCTCGGGGGGTCTCGGAGCGCCCGCAGACGCCGGGGTAGGCCGCCCGCCCCACCGCGGTGCGTCAAGTTGCCTACCCTGCAGTCCGCAGGCGCTCGCGGTTAACTTTTCGAGAGTGACGAACTTGGATCGCTGTCGACCGGTTGCACGGCCCTCCTTCCTCGCTCTGTCTCTCTCGCTCCCTTACGGCACACTCTGCGAGTGCGAGAGAGACAGAGCGGCGGACGCGCGAGTGACGCGGCGAGACGAAACGTGACGACGGCGAGGGGAGCAGCCCGGCCCGCCTTCTCCCCCGAGGGCGGTTCTGCGAGATTGATTTCTCACATTGGCGCTTCCCCGCCCTTCTCAACCTCTCCGGTTTCGACATGCGAGTCGACCGCAGGGAGCGGGGGAGGGGGGAGGGGGAGGGGGAGGGGGTAGGGGGGGGGGGGTAGGGTCAGTGACGAGGCGCCGGGGTCGTTCCGGGCCATGCCACGGCTGCTGATGCGAAGCAACGCAATTCCGACGGCCCGGTCCAGGCCCAGGCCCACGGCCCGCGCCTCTCCGGCCGGACAAGGGTCCGAGGGTTCGAGTCCCGGCCGTGTCGAGCAGCGCCGGGCCGACGCCGGCCTCCCTTTACAACCGCCACGGCCGCGGGATCCATTGCAAAGCGGTGCCGTTCGTCGCCGTCCTCTTTCATGGCCTGCTGGCGGTGCTGCCGTGGTGCTGCCCGCGCGCCCACCATTGCACCGTTATGAGGTGTGGTGGTGGGGGGGGCGCGGGAAATCCTGGGAAAAGCCCAGGGTCGCACTGCCGACGACGACGCTACCCGGCACCGCAGACGACCCCCGCGCCGTCAGGCCGTCACCGGCTGGAGATGATTGTCCTGCGCCAACACACGTGCACGCACACACACACACACGCACACACACACACACACTCTCATAAGGGCAATATGGGGCGAATTTGTTTTCGGAAGGCGGCCATCCTGATTGACTGGTGCGCCTCCACTGCTGCCCACAGGGAGGCGAGCGAGTCGCTGGCGTTCCTGCGGCCCAACAAGGACTTCGGCCCCGAGATGGCGGCCATGCAGAAGATGGTGGACGACGCGGCGGACCGGGACCGCAAGAAAAGCAAGGTAAACAGGGTAAACGCCGACCCTCTCGCCGAACCGCCATTCCCTCTTGGGTCGCTGTTGTCGGGACGTGTGGCGTGTGGGGTTCGATCCCCGGCGGGTGTAACCAGAGTTTATTTTTTTTCCAGGGCAACTTGAACGGCGCGCTCCAGCCCCGGGACCCGACCCCTCCGCGCGCCGTCACGGAGCTGTCGCGGCGCGGCAGCCAAGACGGCGAAGACCCGCCCGTGCCCGCCACCGCGCGCGCCGTGTGCCTCGTGCTGGGGCTGATGGGCGTGCAGCAGCTCTGCGGCATCAACGCCATCATCTTCTACACGGTGGACATCTTCGAAGGTGCGCGCCGAGGACTGTGGAGGCACTGTGGAGGCGGCCTAACTCCTAGACGCGTTTTGAGCTCCAGAGTCGCTAAATGGGACTCGAACGGAGCGTGTGACCCCACCAATGGATTCCTCGTGCGGAGAGCAAGCCATTGGTGGGGTCACACGCACGGTTCGAGGCCCATTTAGTGACTCTGGGTTTTGACCGCCTCCTCCGGTCTTCTGGCCCACTGGCACGGTTCTCGAAATGCAAGTTTGCCTCCCTGTCCGCAGCGGCCGGCAGCTCCCTGTCGCCCTGGGTGGCCACCATGATCGTGGGCGCCGTGCAGGTGGCGGCCTCCGTGGTGTCCTTCTTCGTGGTGGACCGCGCGGGCCGGCGGCCCCTGCTGGCCACGTCGTGCCTGTTCATGGCCCTGTCCCTGTCCGCGCTCGCCCTCTACTTCTACCTCCAGGTGAGGGCAACGCGAGGCCCCGCCTCGCAACGCGCCGTCGCGGTCAGTCCGACTGACTCAGTCGGCCAACTTTAAAACTTCCAGCGCGCGCGCTAACTTTCTCCCTCCCTCCTTTTCTCAGGTGGAGGGCGGGGCCTGGGGGGCGCTGCCGGTGGCCGCGCTCTCCGTGTACATCTTCTTCTACTCGTGGGGCTTCGGGCCGCTGCCCTGGTTCATGATGGCCGAGCTGCTCCCCGTGGACGCCAAGGACTGGGGCAGCGCGCTGGCCATCGCCACCAACTGGGCGCTCGTCTTCCTCGTCACCAACACGTTCCAGGGCTTCATCGAGGCGGCCGGCACCGTCACCACCTACGCCCTGTTCGCCGGCGTGTGCCTCGCCGGGCTCACCTTCGTCGGGCTGTGCGTCCCCGAGACCAAGGGCCGCTCCCAGGAGGACATCCAGACCATGGTGCGCGAGGGCAGAGTCTCCTAGAGTCTACCCCCGCAACTTGCTCGCTCTCTCAATTCGGGAAGGAAAAGCCTGATTTCCAGGCAGCAAATAGTCAACATTCGTTCCGACGTATTTTTATTTATCACAACCTGATGTTTACAAGCGTTACAGTGTGCGCAACGGGGCGCACCGTTCCATTTCGCATCCTTATGTTGTCGTTTTTGGCGACCCTTATTCGTAACGTATCAGGGAATTTTTCTACGGAGACACATAGAAAACACAGAACCATTATAGTATATGTACGAAAATTGGTTAATTCTAAGACACACAGAATGTCTTGTGAACAAGATCAATCCAACATTCATAAATTTAGTACAACAGAAAAAAATGAATAAATAAATTTTTCGCGGATTTCGGTTGGAAAGAAGAGAAACGTCTGTCTCTGACAGTGAATAAATTACAGCTTTGGTGTTAGGACCAATGAAACAGACGAATATCTACAGAAATTAAATATAAGTCAATGAAGACCAGCGAAGGTATCGGTTTATGTACAACTCACCTTATAAGATAACTGTATGTACAACTGAGGTGGTTTTTTTTAATAAAGTAGTTTTTTTAATTAACAAAGTTGTTTTTCTTTTATTTACACTAAAACTCGCTCCAGCGTCTTCCTCGACTCTGGCGTCCTTTCTTTTATCCCTGGAACTCTTTTTTAACGAGCTCCTTCCTCCGAACCCCAATTAGAACATCCCAATTAGTGAATGAACAGCGGCAAAAATCATTGAGTCATTGACGAGAGAACCGTTTAGCTGCAGCACGGGGCGGGCGACGGCAAACAGGGTGCTTTGGTCCGCATCAAAATTAAAGCCCAAAGGCCGAACTTTTCTATCCAGCTATAAAACAGAGGAAATTCTTGGCCGTCGGGGGCAAAGCGAATGACCCGAATCAACGAGCGGGGCGCACAGTGGGCCAGAAGACCGGTGGGGGCGGCCAAAATTCTAGACGCGTTTTGAGTTCCAGAGTCGCTAAACAGGACTCGAATCGAGCGTGTGACCCCACCAATGGATTCCTCGTTCGGAGAGCAATCCAATGGTGGGGTCACACGTTCGGTTCGAGTCCCATTCAGCGACGCTGGAGCTCAAAATGCGTCTGGAATTTAGGCCGCCTCCACCGGTCTCCTGGCCCACTGTTAAGTGGCGACAGGTCATCTCTTCCGTCGCGGACAGCAAATGGTTTGAGGACATTCACGTCCAGTCGGGAGCGAAAGTGGCGGACGCTATGAATTATGCAGCCGAGTACGCTAGGAAATGTGATATGAAGTAGGTCGGCTGTCTAAACACCTCAAATACTTTTTGTCAACTTTTTCTTAACTCTTAACCTAAAGATTAGCACTATTAAAACACCAAGTGCGTCTCGACTGATACTTATTTACATCTTAAACACTCTCGATCTTAAGCTTGGAACTAACGGACTGAAAGATTTATAATTAATCGATTATTAGTAGCACGAACATTAGCAAAGAGAAACATATATGAATATTTCAAGTTATATCTGCCTGCAGTCTAAGTGATCAATAATAATAAAATATTCGTACCAAACACAAACGCATAATGATATTTTTTGTAAACGCTGGACCATGCCTCGGGGAATACATCTCAGCTCCACAAGGGCACAGGCTCAGAGTCATTAGTATTTGTGAATGGAAAAAACGTTTATGTTCAACAAAAAAGAAAGAAAGCAAGAAGGGCTGGCTGTCGAAATCCTCACTGGTTCCGTTTCGACATCGGAAAGACTGTCTCACTTGTGAGCAAACTGTCCCCAGAATCTTGTCCTTGCCTTCCCTTTAGCACTGGTTTGCACTCCCAGTCAGGAGACAGTCGGACATACTTATTCTAGAAACAAGAGGCGTCCATGACCAGAGGACCTTAGAAAAATAATTTTTGAGCGTAGTATCAATCTTACAAAGTAGGCCTTGCCGGGAACGGAAAAGCGCGGGAAAATGATAAACAGTGAACGAACGCTGGCCGGTGAGATTCATTTGTTTTTTTTTTTCCAATGTACAAAGCCAAGCAAACCTACGCAACAAGGTCTTGTTTTCATCACAGTCATGCTACTCCGCCGACACGACGATACACTCGATAGGGAAAGGGCGGGGCCTCGTCACTTCGTCGGCCGACCGACGAGCCGCGGCCGAAGACGGCGACGCGGTTCGGGACGTCGTCGGGGACGTCGTCGGGGACGTCGTCGGGGACGTCTTCGGGGACGAGGAGGCCGCGCGGCAGGAGGGCGTTCGAGGAGTCAGTCCTGGAGGGCGGTGACTATGGCGCGCTCACTCCGGGCCTCCTCCAAGACCCTCCCGAGTTTCCAGTTTCGGTCGTGGGCCTGAGGGGCCCGCCGTGGACCTCTTGGCTGGCCGGCGGCGCGGGGCGGCGCGGGGCCTGGCGGGGCGCGCAGGGACGTGGCCCCCGTGGGACGCGGGGCTGGCGGCGGCCGTTTGGGAGACGACGCTGAGCGTTCAGCCCAGGGCCAAGCCGGCCAGGCGAGCCCCCGCCACCAGCACCAGCACGGTCAACCACAGCGGCTGGGCGGCGAGGCGAACTCCTCCGGTCTGCATCGCCGCGGGGTTTTCACCTGTAACACAAGCAGCACGGCGTAAATGTCAACACATGTTTCCGAAGTTTTAATAGAGTGGGAACTCCTAGACCCACTAGTGAAACGACGACATGGTTGGTAACAAACTAGTTACTACGCTAACCTAGGTCGCCACCGCGAGCGGGCGGCGGCTCGGCGCGCGCAGCGCAATGTCGCGGCGACTAGCGGAACCTCGTCCGCGCGCGAGGCCAGTTTGAGCGGTGACAAGTGTCAGAAGTCATCAGGGAGTGCTCCGGCACAACTTACTTCAGTTTGGACCATCTTTAGTCACTGCCCAGAACGACCGAAAACGCAAGATTTAAGTCTAAGCTGCGCATATATTGAAATGGGTTGTCTGAAAGGATTGCCTGAGCCGACGCGTTGCTTTGCGAGAGCCTAGCGACAGACAGTGTGTGTGCTCCGTAGGGTAAACTGTACACACGCCTCTCCGTGTGTGTATTTGAGTTGCGATAACATGAGTCCGCATCAAGCCGGGGGTAATATTACATATCATCCCGTCACGCGACATGAGCAGCGGGGATATCACTATGAAGGACCACACGGCTCGGCCGCTTTAAGCCATCAGACGTGCACTTGTACAGTGCCACACTTAAAGTGCGTTTCTCGAGTGTACAGCGGGCCAACCGATAGAGCGGTAAAAAGCCTGGACGCGTTTTGAGCTCCAGAGTCGCTAAATGGGACTCGAACCGAACGTGTGACCCCACCAATGGATTGCTCTCCGAACGAGGAATCGATTGGTGGCGTCACACGTTCACTTCGAGTTCCGTTTAGCGACTCTGGAGCTCAAAACGCGTCTGGAATTTTAACCGCCGGCGCCGGTCTTCTGGCCCACTGTGCAGTGTGTTGCCTTGCAGTGTGCCTCTGTGTCCCTGTGCACATGCTGCCCCGCCCGTGCAGACGGCCCGGCCGATTCGGAACATCGCTTCGTCCCCCTCGCACCTCTACGGCACGCCCCATGAGTGCGAGAGAGACGACACTCTGTGTTCGGAAGCGGCCTGTAGGCCGTCCCCTGCACTGGACAAGGCTGCGAACCGGATCATTATTGGAGGAGCAAGGCCTGCATGTCATGCTACCGGCAGAGGGAGGGATTTGGGAAGGGGGGGGGGCTACCCCGCCCCCTGAGAGTGATTCATGGGAACATGAGGTGATCCATGGTGTTCGACGGCACGGCACGCCACGCCACGACCCCCGAGGGCGACGCCGCGGCTCCGGTGACGCCGACTCCGGCCACGGCGTGCTGTCAAGTGGCACTGGAGCGCTGTTGGAGCCCAGCCTAGCCCACCCCAGCCCGGCCCGGACCACAGACCCCCTTCCAGTGTTGCCTCCAGCCTGCGGACCGATGCCGAGAGTCGTCGCTCTGTCTCTCTCGCACTCATGGGGCGCCCCGTGCAGGTGCGAGAGAGACAGAGCGACGAGCCCGGAATCAGTGTGCCGGGCAGTGTGCCGCGCAGGGACTCGCCCCGTGTTTGCACGCGGCTAAGTGCATCTCCCTCAACGCCGCCGACGCCGGAGCAGCCAATATGTGACGAAAAAAAAAATCGGGATGGAGGTGACGGCAAATATTGGCATATGAAATGGCGACGTGTTGTCAAACGACGCCTGCGGACTGCGGGGCGCTGCAGAGAGACTCGGATTGAAAACAGCCATTCCCGCTTCCGAGGTTCCTTCCGATTCTATTAGGTGTCGCGTCGCCGCGTCGCGTGGGGCCCGGATCTGGCCCGGATCCGGCCTGGAGGTCTGGAGGTGCGATAGCATTTGTTCCCCCACGCCGCTACTGCCGCTACCCTACACTGCCTCGGGCCCCGGGCGCGTTGCGCGGCGTTGCGGGTCTCGGGAGGAGGTGTTCGAGTTGGCCGCCAACTTGCCGATGGAGCGAGGGGGGCTCTGCTCTGCTCTCTCTCTCTCTCTCTCTCTCTCTCTCTCTCTCTCTCTCTCTCTCTCTCTCTCTCTCTCTCTCTCTCTCTCTCTCTTTCTCTCTCTTTCTCTCTCTCTCTCGACCGTGCACGGGGAAGCCGTCGAGTGCGAGAGAGACAGCGCGACAGGGCTCTGCTGGCAACCCCAATCCAGGGTCCCTTCACTCGGCTCTGGACGAAGGGACGCCAAGTAGAGGTTCGAAACTCTACCCTGCGGACCGATTCCGAGAGTCGTCGCTCTGTCTCTCTCGCACTCACGGGGCGTCCCGTACAGGTGCGAGAGAGACGGCTCTCGGAATCAGTCTGCTGCGCGGTCCTGCATCTTCGCACGCGCCCCGCCCCTCGCCCCCTGTGTTGGTCTACCGCACCCCTGTCCCCGGCCCACCCTGGCCCGGTGCGGCCCGGTGGGAAAGAGACACACTTAAAGCAAACTTGGGTGTCTCTTTAGGCCGGGCTCCAAGTTCGTGTTCCGCTTACTGCGCCAACCCCCCCCCCCCCCCCCCCCCCCCCTCCTCGCCCTTTTTTGCGCCTGATATGAATGGTATCTGCGTCACCAGCCTTTTCGGGGTACCGCCTGGGACTCCCTGGCCGCTGGCAGTGTTTTGTTGTTGCGCCAACTTGCGCCAACTTTGGAATAAATTCAAGATTGATTGCGCCTGGAGCAGGCGAAATAAAGTTTGCCCGCGGGGACACGATCGTTCGCGGCGAGGCGGAGCAAAGGCGAAGGGCAAAGCTTCCGAATTTAGGACGCCGCCGATATTGAAACCGGCAACAAGACAGGGCGAGACAAGGCCCACAGGGCGAGGCGGGGCTCAAAAAGTCGTTGGCCGCGCCGGCAGCCGGCAGGAGTCGAACCCGGGCCCGTCTAAATGGAGCTGGAACAGAACACGAGGGCCGCGTCGGGTCAGATTCCCCTCAGAGCGAGGAAATACACACACGTGTGGTGCTCGATTCAAGTGGTGCTTTTCAGGGCCCGGGGCTCAAAACGCGTCCGAAGTTCCGCTCGCCCGACCTGGCCCGCCCCGCCCCGCCGCCCCGCCCCGCCCCCGGCCACCTTTCGGCGTCCTAATTGAGAATAGTGAGACGGGCCGGCAGAACGGATGGCGGGCCAAAGGGCCGGCCGGCCAGCGCCGACCTATTTTAATTGAGCCCGACTTGGGCCAATAACAGCCAATACTGCCCTTGTACTCCCCGGGGGGCTAGCCAGGCCAGCCCGACCAGCCTGCCTCCACCGGCCAGGAGGGATGCGGAGGGGGGGGGGGATTCTGACCCGCTCAAGTACACGCTCATTGTTACTGAATTTCAGTGCGATTTACCGCGCCGCGAGTGCGAGAGAGACGCAGCGACGACAGTGACGTGCGGGAGCGGCGGTTCGCAGTGCACCGCGGAGCACGCCATGCCCCTCCCCGCCGCGGCGTGACGTGTACGAGTGGGCCACTGTCAGTCCGACGCTGGCGGCCGATGTACCACGGCCACCACGGCCACCACGCCGGCGCTCCGTCTTCCTCATCGCCAAATGCTTTTTTGATGGTCATTCCGTGGTCGGCGCGGCGCGCGCGCGTCCCAGGTCCCCCTTTTCGACATAGCTCACGCACCCTCCCCCCCTCCGTGCCGCACCCCGCCCCACCCCGCGCGCATTGTGTCATTGTACGCGGGACAAAGCGGGCCGCCCCCCGTGCCTAATAGTCCGGGGTGAAAGGCGGCCCCGCCCCGCCCCGCCCCGCCACGCCGAATCAGCCTCTGGCGTGTGTTCATGTACTCAGGTTTCGGGCGACGCCGCCACCGCGCCACCGCCACCACGACGGCGTTCGCGCTTGGCGCTCCGCACCGCATGCCCGGCAGCCATCCGCGGTTTGGATTCGGTCTCGACCCAAACAACGCGAGCGGCGCCAAGGACACGTTGATTGCTGTGAAGAGCGGCTAGTGCATGCGACGCGCGTGCGAGCGTGCACAGTGTGCAAGTTAGCTAGAGTGTGCACGTCGTGCAGGCGGTGTTCACCAGAGGCGGGCGGCCGGGCGGCCAGGCAGCCAGACACAGGCGCCTCTCTGAAAGGCGCTCATTCATTCATATTTCCGCGCTCGCCGGTCTCTCTTTCCTGGACGGGGTGGGGCGGGGCGGGGCGGGGCGCAGCGGGGCGTGGTGGAGCTAATGCCTTCAACAGATCAAAGTCCATCCCAGCAAGTTTGCTCATTCGTTGGCTGGCAAGGTCCGCTCGTCGGACCGGGGCGGGGCGGGGCGGGTGTTCGGGGCGTCGGCGTGGGGGTAAGCCAGTTAGTGGGCCGAGAGTGTCACGGGGTGCGGGGCAGTGCGGGGCAGTGCGGGGCAGTGCGGGGCAGTGCGGGGCAGTGCGGGGCCGGGGCGCCGCGTGGTCAGGGTGGTGGGGCGGGTCGCGGTCCGGGAGGGGCGCGGTGGCGGAGGCTGGGCTGGACTGGGCCTGTCATTTGGAGTCTAATGAGAGGGCCGTTCGAAACGCCCCCCCCCCCCCCCCCGCCACGCCCCGCCACGCCGCGGTTCGGACCTTCTTCCACCACAATGACGTTGCAGAGCGCGAGTTAGGCCGAGGCAAAAAGGACGGCAACAACAGCAAAAAGGCCAACAAAGAGAGGACCGTCGTCCTTTTGATTAAGCACGCGCTCATGATTGGGAATCCAACCAGCAAATTAGCCATGGCCCGATCCGCTTGCTACCCGTGAGGAAAACGCACCAGCAGCGCCGGCAGCGCCAGCGGGGACCCAGAGGGGCAGCCTGCGGTCAGGGCGGCCCGGTCGGGCCAGGCCCAGGGCGGCGAGGCGGCCAGAGGAAGTTAGAGGAGGAACCCGTGCGGCTGACTTCCCTGGACACACTTTCTCTCTCTCTCTCTCTCTCTCTCTCTCTCTCTCTCTCTCTCTCTCTCTCTCTCTCTCTCTCTCTCTCTCTCTCTCTCTCTCTCTCTCTCCCTCTCTCCCTCACACACGCTTCCCGACTTGAGCCAATCACAGCCCGTCGTCGGGCCAGGCGGAAAGCGGCGGTAAGTCGGTCCGCAAATATCAGACCCAGTTTGCGCGCCTGCCCGACCACGCCTCCGCGGCGTGAAACACTCTGTCTCTCTCGCACTCGGGCGGCGCTGGCGGGCGCTGGCGGGAGGCGAGAGCGAGACAGACAGCAAGCAGACAAGCTTGTCTCCATGCAGAAAGAAAAAAAAAGCTCCGCTCGGAATCGAGGCAGCGGCGCGTGGCGCACTTTGAAGGGCCGCCGAGCGGTTTTAAGAGAGTCGTCTCGTCGCTCTGTCTCTGTCGCACTCCTTTGGAACCTCGTGAGTGTGCGAGAGAGACAGAGCATCTTTTGCGGAAAGGCAGCGCGCCCAGGGTTCAAAGTTCAATCCTTCCACCCGCGGCCATTTTCTCCGCCTTTTCCCCTGACAAAGTCCCGTGAAAATGCCGAGGCTGACGTTCGTTGTCGTCTTGGCAGTGTGCTGAGCTGCACCGTGCAAGAGAGAGAGGGGGCAAACTGTTCGCAGTTTGAATCAAACAGCGCCTTGGCCGCGACGTGCCTCCAGGAGCCTAAACTGTGTGCCGCCGATGTCCTGCTCGGAGGCCAAACTAGACCGGGCTGCCCTGCAGTTTGCGCTGTCTCTCTCGCACCCCCACGGAACGCCCCGCGAGTGCGAGAGAGACAGAGCGAGGGGCCGCCGTTTCGGAAGCGAGCTGTCGGGAATCGGTTGACCATTAGGGGCAGCTGCGTCGTTTGGACGCGGGGCGCGCACCCAGTGCAGGTACCACACCGGCCGGCTGGACCGAGAGAGAGAGAGAGAGAGAGAGAGAGAGAGAGAGAGAGAGAGAGAGAGAGAGAGAGATAGAGAGAGAGAGAGCGCTGCGCGAGATTAGAAACACGACAAGGACGCACTTTCCCCGCACGCTCTGTGGGCCAAGGCCTTGCACCAGACCACGCCGCCTCGCAGCTTCCATTCCCCTGACGTGTGGACGTGGTGCAAGGTGGGCTAGACGCGGGGAGAGCACTTATCGGTGCAGCAAAAGCTCAGCAAAGAGAGGAACCTGATATGCGCCTACCACACACCATCAAGTAAATTAAGACAACAAAAAAAAAAAAAAAAAAAGATTAGGTTTTTAAAAAAATCGAGGCTGGGCGGGAGTTGTTTATTTCTCCTACCTAAATGTTCGCCTACCTGTCTATTTCGCCTACCTATATTTCGCCTTCCTAATAAAAATATTCAATAAAAATATTCAATAAAATATTGCCTTTTTTCGCCTACCTATAGTACGCCTACCTAATAAAAAAATTAAATAAAAATATTCAACAAAAAAAACGAAAAAATCGGCGGCAAAAAGTGGCAATACGAAAGTCTCAAGGAGACCCGCCGATCAGCTTCGGTGTTCTTATGGGAACCGGGCCTTCATCCGACGCTCCCTGCCGCGCAATTCGACAGATTAGTGGGTTCGTATTGGGCTGGCCCACCCGAAGTGCGCGCGGTTTCTGTGGTACAGTGAGAGTCCAGATTCAGAGGCCTTACCTCAGAGGGGTCACATTGGGTATTTGAACCCGCGACCCCGAGTGCCGAGTCTAGTCAACTCCTCTACCCTGACCGCTCAGCCACCGAACCAGCTTGTCAGCGGCGATGTCGCAACTCCTCTTGAGCTGCCGTTCGAGAAATCTGGTCCCGAAAAAATGGTAATTGGAGCGGTCTCGAACCCGGGACCTGCCGCTTCCCACATCATGCTCTTAACCACTGAGCCACCGGGACACCATGGCACCCGCCCTGCCTGCGCTGGTACCCAATCTTCTCTGGATGTACCTCCCCAAGCAATTGGTCGCCGAAAAAATTGTGTATACTACCGGTCCCGAACCCGGGACCTCCCGCTTGCCGCGACATGCTCTTAACCACTGAGCCACCGGGACACCATGGCACCCGCCCTGCCTGCGCTGGTACCCAATCTTCTCTGGATGTACCTCCCCAAGCAATTGGTCGCCGAAAAAATTGTGTATACTACCGGTCCCGAACCCGGGACCTCCCGCTTGCCGCGACATGCTCTTAACCACTGAGCCACCGGGACACCATGGCACCCGCCTTGCCTGCGCTGGTACCCAATCTTCTCTGGATGTACCTCCCCAAGCAATTGGTCGCCGAAAAAATTGTGTATACTACCGGTCCCGAACCCGAGACCTGCCGCTTCCCACATCAAGCTCTTAACCACTGAGCCACCGGGACACCATGGCACCCGCCTTGCCTGCGCTGGTACCCAATCTTCTCTGGATGTACCTCCCCAAGCAATTGGTCGCCGAAAAAATTGTGTATACTACCGGTCCCGAACCCGGGACCTGCCGTTTCCCACAACGTGCTCTTAAGCACTGAGCCACCGGAGGACCATGGTGCCCGCACTGCCAGCAATGGTACTCAATCCTCTCCGAATAAACCTCGTCAAGAAGTCGGTTGCCTCTGCCGAAAAATATGCTCATGGCACTAGCCTCGAACCCGAGACCTGCCAGTCAGGAACGCAGCACTCTAACCACGGCGCTACCAGGTTGCTGTGCACGCCACATACCTAGCGCCAAACTTCAATAGCCATCTATCTTGCTTGGCTGGACAAATAATAACTTCGGCGATGGGGTGAGCCCTGTGCGTAGCAACCTAGTAGCGCAGTGGTTAGAGTTCTGCGTTCCTGAGTATATTTTTTAATTCTGATTTTTGTTTGATAAAATAAATATTAGTGTCGGAAAAAGCTATCTCTTTGGCGCGCTCCTTTGAGAACTATGGCAGCCGGTGATTATTTTCGGGCCGTTGTCTCCGATTTTCACTTTCGGCGGCTCGGCGACGTTGCCGCCCTCGACCCTATCCGTTCCGCCTTCGCAAAGGTCGCGCGCCCCGACGGGCCTAATCCTTTAGTTTGCCCTTTTCACGAGGCGGGGCACCGTTCTGCCGCGTTTTGCTTCAGATTACAAAGTTGTGCCGCGTCTCTGCGTGCCGCCGCCACGCCACTGCGTGTGGCCTGGCGTGGCAACCGTCGTGCCTCTTAGTGCCCTTCCTGGCTTTCTTCAGGGCGTAGAGGGATTCGCGCAGATAAAGAGGGAGAGAGAGTCTCTTGTGTGTGGACACAAGTGAGGAGGCACGGGTGCGCGCGCGTGTTTCTCTCTCTCTCTCTCTCTCTCTCTCTCTCTCTCTCTCTCTCTCTCTCTGTGTGTGTGCCAATGACTTTGTGGGCGTGGTGAGGTACTTCCTTGCATTCCGTATAACCAGGCGGCGTCTGGGGCGCTCCACCCGCAGTCCGTGCCCTCTCCTCCGCCGCCATGTACGCCGCCTCGCTGCTCCTGCTGGCCCTGGCCGCCCTGGCCGCCCCCAACGTCGTGACCGCCGCCGCCTGCAAGAGGGCCAAGAGAGCGGCGCCGAGCGCGGCGGCGGACACCCAGTGCATCCAGGTCCAAGTGGTGAGTTTACCCGCTGCCGTCCGTCCCTTTCGCACGCCTGCGGAACGGCACACGAGTGCGAGAGGGACGGCGATTGAAATAGCGTTGTCTCTGGGTGAGCCCACCTTGTTGGCGCGCCCGGGCGTTCAAATCAAGCGCAATGGTTTCTAGGTGTACCGGCACGGCGCCCGGACCATCGTGACGCCGACGTACCCCACCGACCCCAACGCCGACCCCAAGCTGTACCAGCCCTATGGGCTCGGCCATCTGACCTCGGTACAGTACACTCTCTCTCTCCTCCCTCCCCCCTTTCTCTCCCCCTCTCTTCCCCTCTCCCTCTTTCTCCAGCTTGAAGGCCTCCAACGCGTTGGTTGCAGCTGGGCAGGCAGCACGAGTACGTGCTGGGGCAGCTGCTCCGCAGCCGGTACGTCGGCGCCACGGCCTCGGTGGCCAACCTGCTGGACGCTGAGTACGCCTCGGGGGTGCTGACCACCAAGACGTCGGGCGTGGCGCGGACGCAGGAGAGCGCCGCGTCCTGCCTGGCCGGCATGTGGCCGCCCGCGGCCGGGTCGCGCCAGCGCTGGCACTCCAACAACACCCAGGTCGGCCAGGTGTGGACGCCCATCGTCTACGACATCATCCCCTTCGCCCAGGACAGGGTGAGAACAAAACAAAAAAAGTGTGCGAAATTCTTTTATTGTCAGTCGAGGAGGATTGAGGGGGAAAAGAAAACTTGTCAGATAAGACGGACGCGATAAGGAGGTGACGCGTTTCCTTGCTTGCCGAGTGATAAGGCAGCCGCCACGCCGCGGGTTCAAATCCCACCAAAGTTCATCCTTTTTGAGAAGTTTTATTTTTAAACGGTTTTTAATCTTTATTGACAGGCCATCGCGGGCACGGCACCGTGCGCGTCGCGCGACCTGGAGTACAACCGCGTCGTCACGAGCGGCGAGTACAGGACGCGCGTACTGCGCGTGCTGGGCGGCGAGGCGAACCTGCGCTACCTGGAGACCAACTCGGGCACCAACTACAACTTCAGCGACCCGGCCTCCGCCGCCTTCGCCTACAACATCTTTTCCGCCACGCAATGCCAGGTCAATGGAGAAAAAAATTGAAAAAAAAAATGGAAATAAAAAGGGGAGAAGACTTGGGTACTTGAACCCGTGAACGGGGAGGTTGGCTGCGCTGCACCGTGACGCCGTGGCCTGCCTCTCCATTACGGCATTACGGTGTCGTGTTCGTTAAAGTGACACTCCCGAAAAGGAATAAAGGAATTGTTGCTCCGCGGAGCCGCGCCATCCCCATAACCAAATTGGCCGACGCGCTCTGCAGCAGGCCGATTCCGAGAGTCATCGCTCTGTCTCTCTCGCACCCACACGGGACGCCCCACGAGTGCGAGAGAGACAGAGCGACGACTCTCCGCCCTTGGCCGCGCGGGGCCGAGTCAAGGCCAAGTGGCCTGGCTGGCCTCACTCACCCTTAACCTTGCCACGCGATCCGGCGCCAGGAGCTGCTGGGCCTCACCACCCCGTCCTGGATCAAGAAGCTGTACCCGGAGCCCCTGCGCGCGGCCAGCACCCTGTACCTCCGCACCCTCAGCTACACGCCCAAGCTCATGCGCCACTCTTACGGTGAGCAGTTACGCTAATTCCTTGACACGCTGCCAGCGGCTGCCAGCCAGCCGACGTCGGCTCGGTTTTACGGTGCGGCTGGAATTCGCGGCCGGGAAGGCCTTCGCTTGGCGCCGACGAGTTCGGCGGACTACACTGCCAAGAACGGCCGCCTCGCAGTGTGCCAGAAGGCCCGTCAAAATCCCGGACGCGTTTTCGAGCTCCAGAGTCGCTAAATGGGACTCGAGCCCTCCAATGGATTGCTCTCCGAACTAGGAATCAATTGGTGGGGTCACACGTTTAACTCGAGTCCTGTTTAGCGATACTCAGGAGATCTAAAGGTGTCTAGAGATTTGGCCCCCTGTGCTGGTCTTCTGGCCCACTGCGCAACGCCTGCAAAAGTCAAATAAAGGAGGAAGTTTTGAACCTACAACCTTCAGTGCCAGTGGCCACCTCCTAGACCCCTCGACTAATGTGCGCAGGCGACCTGACGAAGTGGCTGATGAACGCCACCCGCAACTACGAGACGCAGCCCAAGTTCCAGGCGTACTCCGGCCACGACGCCACGGTGTCCGCCGTCATCCAGATCTTCGAGCTGGAGCCCCAGGACGACGCGGGCTTCGGCATCCCGGACTTCAGCGCCTGCGTCATGATCGAACTGCACCGGGACCGGCAGGGCCGGCTGGGACTCCGGGTAGGAAGCAACCAACGACCTCAGCGGCGTAACACAGTGGGCCAGCAGACCGGTGGACCTCAAAACTACAACCGCTGTTCATTCCCCTGCCCACCAGTTCTTCTACCGGCGGGAGTACGGCGGCAAGGTCATCACCATGGTCCCCAAGGGCTGCAACGAGTTCTGTCTGCTGGACGACGTCGAGGAGATCCTCTCCAACAAGATGAGCCGCGACGACGAGACCTGCGACGTCCCCGCCGACCACGGCACCACGCTGCGCGAGGTCCACCGGGCCCACATCCTCGGCCACCACATCCTGGCCGACCCGACCACCCCGTCCACCCCGACCGAAGAGACGGATTGACCGACAGCGCGCGCAAACGGCGCCAGCTACACGCGTCCAGCGTACCGATACTCGCCACCCCAAACACGCAGGGACGCGTGTAACTGCCGCCGCTTACACACTCGCGAACACGCACGGACAGACAGACAGACAGACAGACAGACAGTCAGAAAGTCAGACAGACAACACACTCACACTGCTGCCCAACAATACTCCAAAAAACAAAACACCTACACCAAAACAAATCCCAGTTTTACCTAGTGATGACCAACATACTATGAATGCCCGTCTAAAACCTGTCAACCTGAATGCCAATTCAAAAGCGGTGTCTCGGTCTATTTGACAGTGTGGGAGGGTTCGGCGCGATAGTGGGCGCGGATGATAGCGCCGCTAGTCGCCGATGTTGGCGCTTCTCTGGCGCGCTCGGCGGCGGGGGGGCGGGCCGGGTGTTTGTCTTGTGATTTTCGGCGACAGTCCTCGGGCCCCGGCGATGTTGAATTTATCAAAGCCGCCCCCCGCGGGACTCGGAAGTTGTTCCGCGAGGGCAGGAAAGGTCTCCTCCCTCTCCGCCCCCGCAGCGCCCGGCAGAGCACGGCAGCGCCTCCCTAGGCCCACACCTGCAGTGGCCCCGCGCCCTCCTGGTGTGGTGTCGTGTTCCGTCGCGCAGTGGGCCAGCGGAGCGGTGGACGCGGCCAAAACTCTGGACGCGCTTGGAGCTCCAGCGTCGCTACGTAGGGCTCGAATCGAGCGTGTGACCCCACCTATGGATTCCTCGTGCGGAGAGCGATCCATTGGTGGGGTCGCACGTTCAGTTCGAGTCCGACATAGCGACTCTGGTGCTCAAAACCCGTTTTCGACCGCCTCCGCCGGCCTTCTGGCCCATTGAGCGTCTTTCGGCCGTCCCGTCCCATCACCGCGAAATACTGGGGCACTTTTTTTTTTTGAAAAAGACTGCTGTGCCGACGCTCTGAGAGGGAAGCGCGTCGTGGTTAAGTTATTTATGGAAGGATAAAAGTGACTTCTTATCTCTAAGCCCAGAAATTTTTGTAAAAAAAAATAAAATGGCAGTTTATTTTGCATATAAATGTATTAGGGGTAAGTGATTTCCTACATTAAAACCAAAAATTTTTCTAACAAAAAAAAAGACAAAAAACGTATTTTTCCTTGACTTCTGCTGCTTCATTCCTCGTTTCACTCACCGCTGATGACGTGCACGTAGTTGCTGGCGGACTTGGCCTGCGCCGCCTCGCACGTGTAGTTCCCGGACTGGGCGCGCGTCGCGCGCTCCACCACCAGCACCGTCGTGTTGTTCGGCAGGTCCACCGTCACCTGCAAGGTTTAAAAATGCGAATAGTGGAACCCACGACCAAACACGAGCTCCGGGATTTCAGCCGCATCCACCGGTCTCCCGGCGCGCTGTGCATAACGCCTCCTACCTGGTAGATGTTCTGGTGGTCGTAGTTGACCATGACGCCGTCCTTGAACCAGAACATGTACTCGGGCTCCGTGGTGCCCTGCTCGATGTGGCACGAGAGCCGCAGCTGCGACCCGGACCGGACGAACTTCTCTGCGGGACCCTCGATCACGCACCGCGCCTCTGCAACGCAAAGCAACCGTCGTTAGTGGTGGGTGGGCGGCCTCTGTGGCTCGGCGGGCACGGACCGTATGGAAACCGATAACAACAACAACAACAAACAGTGTCCACTCGATAAGCAGGGAGCCGCGCAAAACGCAGTGGGTAACGAGGCAATAGGCTGATAATTTAAAACAGTGCTGCAAGTCTCTCTCTCTCTCACGAGTGCGAGAGGGACAGAGACACTTGCAGTGCAGGCCCCTCGAGATCTGACTGGAGCAGCTTCCCAACAGCAGCCCGGGCTGGGCTATTCACTCCTGACAAACAACCTCACTGCTGATGAAAAGTTTTCGCCCAGACGCCTCATTATCTTTTAACTTTACTGGTTGGCCGAGCAGAAGACCGTTAGTTGGGCAGAAGAACAAGGAAAGAAACTGCGCAGACGGAGAGAGAGAGAGAGAGAGAGAGAGAGAGGGCTGACTTGGCATGCATGGCTGTCGTTGTTTATCCGGGCCGCTTGTGTCAACCGAACGGAAACAGACTCCGCTAAGCAGCCGGCTGATTCAGAAGAGTCCTTTCGTCGCTCTGTCTCTGTCGCACTCGTGGGGCTCTTCGCAAGGGTGCGAGAGAGACAGAGCGACAAACCGATCTCCTGGATCGGTCGACAGTGCAGCAGCTGGCCCGGAAGTCATCGACGAACTAAGCAGGGCCTTACAGCACAAAACAAAGTCGGTACCCCCCCACTCCATCCGTGTTCTCAGACAAAACTCAACAAAAAAATCTTTACAGATCTGATGAAAAGTATGCCCCACGGACAACTTGTACGCAAAAGGTTTTATCTTTAAACGAGGGAAAGTCAAAAGGCCCCCAACCTGACCATATAAATACGGGTGATATGACGCTTGCAGCACTTGGCTCGCATTCATGTGTGCATGGGTTGTGTGTGTTTGTGGGCACCTTGTGCTCGTGGAACGTGAGTGTATGGCGGCGTGTGCACCCGTGAACGCACGCCTCTGCAGAGACTGCATAAAGTGTGAATATTGTCCCGACGCAATGCAACCGAAATGCGGCGGCACAGAAAAACCCTGCAGAGCTGTTCTTATTCCAGGGGAGCCGAGCGAGAAAGAGAAAGGGGGAGGGAGAGAGAGAGAGAGAAAGCCGAGCCCTGCCTATGCGTCGAGACACACAGCGCGCTCTCTCTGCGCGGGACGGTTGTGAATTATAGAACGAGAGGCCGCGTCGTAAAACTCTTTTAATTGGAAAAAAGGGGGAAGGGGGTGAGGTGCGGATAGCGGTGTACAGGTCCGCACGCCGGGCCTAGGCCTTTATACCTCGTGCACGGCCAGGGCGGCCTGGACCATAGGGCGGGCTTGGGCTGGGCCACGGCCTGGGCCACGAGCACCAGCCGCACCAGCAGCGGCGCCAGCCACTCGCCATCAGGCGTCTGGAATTTAATCAGAAAGCTTTCGGCTTTCCCCAAATCTACCGACCATCTCTCTCTCTCTCTCTCTCTCTCTCTCTCTCTCTCTCTCTCTCTCTCTCTCTCTCTCTCTCTGACGCGCCAAGCCGCCTGCTGCGCGCCAAGCCGCTCGGATGAGTGAAGCGTCAAATATGGGGCGCCAAATTCGAACAGCAATTTGGAGGCCGGGGGAGGGGGGAGAGGGGGGGGGAGCCGAAAGCAGCAGCAGGCAGCGCCGGGTGATAAACTCGGCCACGTTCAAGCAGGAATCGTCGGGCCGACTTCCACAAATGAAGACGCCGTTAATCTCCGGTCGAACTAAAGGCGCGCGCGTGTGCAGGGCTAGCGGACCCGTTCCGAGAGTCCCTTTCGTCGCTCTGTCTCTCTCGCACTCGCGGGGGCGTCCCGTACAGGTGCGATAGAGACGGAGCGACGAAGAGGACTCTCGGAATCAAGTCTGCGGGGCCAGCGAGGCCGGCAAGGGTGAAGGCGAGAAAAAGGGGGAGGGGGAAAAAAAGGGGGGGGGTAAGGGGGGGGGGGCGAAGGGCAGCGCCACCTATTGCGCACGGCAAGTGCCCGCCTCCGTGCCTGTTTATCTGGATGCGGCACCGAGGGGGTTGGTCTCTCTCTCTCTCTCTCTCTCTCTCTCTCTCTCCTGAAAGAGCCCGCAGCGAGCTCGGCGGTTTGAGGAGAGCACTGGTGGTGTGGGCGGGAAGAGTCAGGGCCCCTGGTTGTCCACGGGGGGTAGCAGGGAGGGGGTGGGGGGGGGGGGGCGGTTGTTGGTGTGTCCACCTTGGCCTTCGTGTTTCCTCCAGGAAGTCATGGAGGCCGGCGGGACTGGCAGGGCTGGCGGCGGGCTGGCGGGGCTCAAGGGGTGAAGGGATGACGGTCTGAAGGGCTGCTAACGAGACAAGCAGGCCGGCCGCCTGATTCTGATTGCAGGCTGTTCATTCACTTGCCGCCGCAAAAACAAAACAATTAAATTAATTCAAAACAAAACCACCCCTTCAGGAAAACAGGGAAGAAAAGAAAGTCCTCCCCGAGTAACACTCCTCCCCTCCCCCCTTCCTCCCCCCCTTCCTCCCCCTCCCGCACCGCGCTGCTCCAGAGAGCAGAAAGCGGAGCGCGTTAATTACGCATACCGGATCGCAAGCCGACACAAAATTCGCGGAAGCCAAACTCTTTTCGCCGCCGAGTGTTTCCGACAACGAGTACCGCCAAAACAAGGAGACGGGAAAGCGACCGCGCTCGACAAAAAACAAAACCTTATTGCGTTTCGAGCGCGATGTGCCGCTCTGGAACACCCCCCGCGGTGGTGCGGTACCACCGCCAAGCTGGTAGCCCCCCCCCCTCTCGCCCCCGCGGGGAAAAAGCGCGACCAAAAGTCGAACCCAAAACGATCGGCAAGACAAATAATGGAAACCGTCGTCATCCGGCATCGGGCCGACAAGTAAATTGGTTCGCGGATCTCTCTCTCTCTCTCTCTCTCTCTCTCTTTCTCTCTCTCTCTCTCTCTCTCTCTTTCTATTCTTCAACCGTTTTGACTCCATCCGTGCGGACGACGACCACGCCGCCTTCCCTGGAAGTTTCCTCCTGGAAAGCCCACGCAACCCACGGGCCAGGCCGCTCTAGGCTGCTCTAGGCCGCCCTCACACTCAGGATGAAATCCCCTCTCAATTCTTTTTCGTGTCCGCCATATAACTCCCCCTGTGTGTGTGTGGGTGTGTTTGTGTGAGTGTGTGTGCGCGCGCAAAGCATGCGGGATATGAGACGGTAGGCTGTCCTTGGATGAAAGGTTTACTGGACACAGGACGCGCGTCGTCCGGCCGCCTAGTCCGTATTACTGGACAATTTGGTAGCCGCCACCCCGCGCCACGCCACGCATGCACAGTGGGCCGGACACTGGCGCGGTCTGTGCCCGACGCGGACGCTCACAGTGCACACGACACACGGGTCGACGCGACGTTGACATGACAAGGCTACCCCTCCTGTCGAACGGTGAAAAATCCGGGCGCGCGTCATCGAGACTCGGAAAAAGAAAGAAAAGAGGAGACCACGTCATGTCGCACCGGTAAAAACGGTTCCTGGTTTCCCAGGAAGCCCATGGTATAGACATAGTCGATTTCCAGGCGGTTCCTGGGAAAACCAGGAACCGAAATTAGCGTGCAGGCGCGGAAAGTACCACAGATTGCCCACCCCTCAGGCGTTTTACGAAGCGGAAAGAAGGGAGGGGAAGGGCTACTGACCGTGTGACCCAATCCCAGGAAACGCATTGCAAAAACCCGGCCGAAATCTGCCGATTCAATGGAAGACCTAACCCCAAATGGAGGGGGGGTTGCGGGGGTGGAGGGTGGGGGGATTTTAGTCGGCAGCTCGGTTCCGGCTTGCAAACACTCCGATTCTCAACAACAGTGCCTTGATCGTTCTGCCTGCCTCGCATGCACATGGGCAACGGCCAGAGAGAGAGAGAGAGAGAGAGAGAGAGAGAGAGAGAGAGAGAGAGAGAGAGAGAGAGAGAGAGAGAGGGGGAGGGAGAGAGACTGGGGTCGGAATCAGCCAGGGCCGTGGCGTGCATTAGTGGGGAGTCCGTCCAGTCCGCGATGCGTAAAACTATGCCATCACCATGGAACCTCCCCCCCCCCTCTCTCTCTCCGCTGACGTTGATGCCAGTGCGGAGTAATCATGCAGAAACATGCAGGCGGCCCATGGCGACGGCAGTGGTGGCCAGGCCATGGTGGCCATGGACCGTGGCGCATCGGACTGGCCGAATCAACTTGGAGCGGCACTCGCCAAAATGTGGGCCATGCCTCTGGCCACGCCCGGCCATGCGGCGCGTGCAGAACGAGGAAAACAAGAGGAGGCAACAGAAACAAGAGCAACACACAAGCAAACCAAAAAACGGGCCAAAAAATTATGAAAGACAAGAAAACAAAAACCTGGGATAAAACCAAAACAAAACGGATAAAAACCAAAATACGAAGAAATGAAATAGAAGACACAGAAAAGAAAGACAAGTGCGTGTTTTGAAAAGCAAAGGCCCACGGGCTTCTACAAGTGTGCGCGCTCGACGTCGGTCGCCCTATCCACTCGGCGGTTCACATCACTGCAGAAGCGCCAGAGCGCACGACCGCGCTAAACGCGCTCAACGCGTAGCAACGCGTACTAGTGGTGGCAGCGCGAGTTCGTCTCGTCTCGTCACACACACACACACACACACACACACACACACACACACGCACACACACACACACACACGGCGGCAATAGCCCAGGCATGCCTGCAGACTGATTCCGAGAGTCGTTTTCGTCGCTCTGTCTCTCTCGCACCCGTACGAAACGACCCATGAGTGCGAGAGAGAGAGACAGAGCGACAGTGTGCAGGCATGCCGGCATAGAGGGTGGAGGGAGGAGATGCGTCGCTCTGGAAGCGCTCGGGGCGCTCGCGGCGCGCTCTGGCGGCGGACTAATGAAGCAACGCCAGTCAACGCGCCGCCGCTTGTCCATTTTGCATCTCGGCTTCCATGAATGACGCCGCCATAACGCTCGCTCGCTCTCGCGGCAGTGTG